TGCCTCCACATCGAGGATCTGCCTATTTAGCGCTTAACTGCGTTTGATTGATTGAAGACCCATTCTGTTTAACATATGCCACTTTCAGGGTCCGGAGAGAGGAGCACTCTCACTGACTTTTTCTTTTTTGAGTAATGGTGTCACGAGGTCAAAGTTCGCAGCGCCGAATGAGCAAAACAAAGGAAGAAATTGAACTTTTCCATTTTTAAAAGCACACTCTGTCCAACATCTGGTGGGAAGTAAATGTGATTGAGTCACAGTTTATGAGTTTAAACAGATGAAACAGAACTACTGAGCAAACATGTTTTTCCTGATTGTTTAACCTATTTAATTGTCACCACTGAGTCCTCCTCTTCAACAGTACATCACACATGAATGTAGTTTGAAAGGCTTCCCCTTAAACCAGTCTGACAAGACTTATAAATGGTTCAGAGGTTGCTGGATGGCTTGATTTAAACTGATGCTTTCCTGACAGTTCACCCTCTTGTGTCACTCACAACCACAAGGCGAGTTTGGGCCTGAGCAAAAGAAGGGTGCAACAGCTTAACACCATCCTTAACACATGACTAAAGCCATCCGGGCTCACGGAGTCTGCTTAAGCTGGCCAATGTGAAGGAGAATACAGACATGCCCGTGAGAAAAAAAGGGTCAGGGAATCAATTTGCTGCTAATTTCCAAATCAAAGATGACTTCTGAAAGTCATCTTTGATTTGTTAATTACTTACAAATGTTTTTGTTTGTGGCTTAACAAAATATGAACATAAATTGTTACCATTCATAAATAACTGAATAGAGCATTTTGGAAAAATCGATCTTTGTTTCCTATCTTTGTTCAACAAGTTGTTCTGTGAGTATCAGTGTGGGGATGACATCACTGAACTCCTATGTGATTTATGGATTTAGCGATCATGTGACCATGTCTGCCACACCAGACTTTTAGAAAGATTTACTCAAAGAGGTCAGATAATAGCCCCTAACACGTCTCAGGCTGGTTAAGCACACCAGGCTGCAGAGAGAGCTTGATTCAAACCAGATACAAGGGCTAACCAACCTGTTAGTTCCATTGTTTTAGAAGCAGGGGGTTGCTAACCGCATTTCCCTCTGAGTTTGTCCCTATGTTCTTCACAAAGACCTGTCACGTTTAATGGTCTGTTGGCTGAGTGGGCTGCTGTAGCCCACTCTTGAAGAATGACCAATGAAGAAAGGCTCATGGTCAGCTAATGAAGCTTAATATTCTCTAAAAAGGTCTGGGGGACAATTAGGAGAGTGTTTCCCATGGTTCTCCCCCCAGCGGTTCGGCACTGCCGGTGCAGCAGATCGTCTGTTTGATGGACTTTGAATGCATCTTATTGATGGGGGTCAGAGCTTAGAGGCAATCGTGCAAGGGCAGGAAAGTGAAAAGAGGATCCCACACAGTGGCCTCAATGCAGCTCAGACACACACAAATAACCACCAACAGTTCCGCCACTTATCTGTCTGTGAATCGTATTCATCGGGGCTGAATGTGTGAATGACCACTTCATGTTCCCTGATGGAAGTTTTTTTCCCCCAACATTCTTCCAATCTTATAACATAAGTTTGTGAAAACTTGCTTGATGCAGCCACTAGTCTCTCAGCGTCAAATGCGCTGTATCTTCACCCGGTGGCTGCCTTGCTGGCAGAGCTCTGCTTTTGGCATTTGTGGGCTGTGCAGGTGCAATACGAGTGAATGCGCAAGGTTGCGACCTGAACTGCAGGAAGCACCGACACCTTTAACCAGATAGCGTGCACAGAGCGCTCAGATTTTAACCTGCAAGTAAGAAATCAACACGCAAAGGAAGAAAACATCACTAACGAGCACTGCATACATTTGGCTGCTTTAGAATCTAAAGAGCATGGTTTCTATAGAACAGTAAAAACAACAAATAGTGTTTGTACGCAAGTTAGTAAGGGAAGTGGTCTGCCTCACATTTTCCTGCCATCTCACTCTGATTGCCGCTCTGGGTCTGTATGCCACATTTGCAAATGTGTAGGTAAAACTCCTGAGTTGATATAGAAATGATGGCATGCTATGGAACAGTCCACTCCAGGCTTCACTATAGGATAGTCCACATACAGCTGTAGCCGGCCTTGCAGTGGCAATTAGAGGGGTGTTTTGGGTCAAGGAGAGAGCAAGGTTTTGTTTGCCACCATCTCATGACTGAATGGACATGTATAGGAGCATAAAGGAAAAGAAGCCAATTAAGGGAGGCCTGTGTTGATTTTCTTCTCTGCAATTTTGTAATTAGGTACAAACTCTAAAAAACTTCCTCAAGTGGCATTTAGGTTGTTTTGTTCGACATATCATTAAGACCAAAATGATCCGCCCAGGTGCTCATTTTACGATTATGTAGAGTAGTTATTTAAAGAATATTGCAATCCAGAAGCTCTCAGGCCTTGTAACACACTTTCTGGCTCAAACACGGCGGCATGAGTGAAGTTCTTAAATCCTTCCAACGAAGCCAGTTCAAACAATGACTGGCTTGTTTTGTGTTTGGGGAATACATGGAATACATTTTCATTCAGCAGAGACTCCACACAGAGTTCCTTCTTAAAGAGACATCCCAAAAGACGAGAGGACTTTTTTTTTTTAAACCTTTCTGTGAGATGCCAAAGGCACTTCAGACCCTCGGTTGCTACTGAAGCTGCGGAGGCAGGAATATCCAATAAGTTAGATATTTTACCTCAAAACAATAATAAGCCCCCATTTTCAGGATCTGGATATCTTTATTCATCTGTAAAACATTTAGATATAAATAATTTTCTAATGGACTATATTGTCTTGTATCACTTTGTTGTTGAAGACTTATTGAGTGATTTGTTAATTGATTCCATCTCAACAAAGTCTGCTGTTAACTGATGATGTTCTTTCAGTTTTTTTCCCCCCAGACTTAAACAAGTTGGTTGAAACCACAACCGACGAAACAGGAGCCGCTGGAATGCACGTCTGACCAATTAATCGTAAACTACGACCCCGTGGCCTCTCCACCGTGCTGCACACTTACACACATGCGAGCAGCCTCCCTGCATCCCGATTCTGGGAAAGCCAGAGAGCCGGCAGCTGCTGGCAGAGCTGGTGCTGCGCGGGGCCGGGGAAGGATATGAGTGTGCCATGTTAATAACTCACAAGTGGCCAGGACCCGTGATCACCCGCTCATTAATGTGCCACCATGCTCGTGGCGTCTGACCCGGGGATGCATTCCTCGTGTAATGGGCAACAGCTGGACCCAGGCATCGCAGAGGCCAGCTGACAACATGCAGACGAGGGCACTGTGGCGAGCCCCCCCCCCCACCACACACACCCTTATCACCCCTCTTATCCCTCCCTGCTCATTAGTCCCTCCAAACGAGGAAATCATATCATGCAGCCTGTTTATATTCAAGAAGACAAGATAAAAAGCGGTTATTCGGAGTTCACAGCAGTCTAGCTTGCTGCGCTTGGAGTTCACGAGTTTGATTAATTAAATTGATTTCCTGGAGCAAATTAGGTTATTCTTTCTTGTTCCTGAAAGTAGACAAAACCTGGCATTGAGAGTAACCCATAACAGAATACTCTGTCGCAAGTTAAAAGCTGACAGAAGCTCGAGATAAAACATCAGCAGCAGTTATGTCAACAAAAAATAAAAAAGGAAAAAAAAATCTCCCACAACGCCTACAAGGAACAAAAACAATGTCGGCTTGTGTTTGTCCCCCCCCCCCCCGAAACTATTTAACTGCAGTTTGGAAAACAAAAAAAAAGTCCACGGTGGTTTAACTCCTTTGCAGGGGTATATTTATTCAAAGGCACCTTCTAAGACTGTGCATGTGTCCATAAAATGGGGGGTTGACACACAGCCCTCTGTTTTTGGCTGGCGACCAGCGGCCAGTGCGGCGTTGGCAGCCGGATCGTGAGAAACAGGGGGGCGACACCCAAATGTCATCACAGCTGCAAAACTGCTGAGCATAAAAGCCAAATTACAGAAATATGTACCCCGAGGCCTCCGGACAAAGAAAACAGAGGCACGTTTGAGTGGCCGGAGCCGGGAGGAGCCGGGGAGTGCAGTGGGAGAGTTGCACAGCGCTACGTTTTGCAGGATTCGCCACGAGGAAGAGACGCCAGATTCCACAGCTGCTGGCAGACATCACGGCGTTGTGCTGGTGGCTGTGTGGGAGTTCAGATGGAGTCAGATCTGCTCGGGCCGTGTTGTTCATCGGGTCTGGTCCTGTTCTGACCACGAGCGAATGACGGAAGTCCATGCCGTCTCGTGGCATTTATCCTAAAGAAATGGATGCTTTTGTACGCTGCAGCTGGTATGTTTCACCGCAGGCCTGGGAATATATGAAGGCTGGAGGAAACAGCAGTCCTGATCAATGTCCAGTGGTCATGTTCACAAGGGTTATCCAACACGAATTAGAATGTCTCCAAGGGTGGCATGGTGGTGTGGCCTCACAGCAAGAGGGATCCCGGTTCAGACCAGTACCCTGAGTTTATGTGGTCTCCATGTGTTAGTGTTGGGCAAATCAGACCACACAGATCGGAATAAGGGGCACAAGTGGGAGGAAAGTTGATCAAATTTTATTTTTTCAAAGTTTTATCCACTGTATCTACGAAAAAAATGTAACCCTCCCAGAGTAAAAGAAGTCTTTAGTATATTCAAACTGAAAAACTGGAGCTATCAACATCTATTTTTTAAATTCATGGTACGTCAGAAGGCATCCATGTCACATTGAATTACTGTTTGTGACCATGATCCTGCAGTTAAAAAAGGTTTTTCCCGCTTTCAGAGGAATAATAGACATGCGTGTGTATTTACATATACACAAGTGCGTGTCTGCGTATTCGTGTATGCAAGTGTACAATGGTAACACAGTACAGGATTGTGTTTGTTTGTGCTTGAGAGCGAGGCTGGGAAAGTTTGAGAGGGGCAGAAGTGGGGCGGGTGGAGGTAGATTTGAGGTTTGGCTGGGTCCGGGGTGTTAGTTATGTCAGCTTAAGGAGGTGGATGAAGAGAAGGGGTGTGCAAAGAGGGAGAGAGGGCCCGCGCTTGTGCCTTTCAAGGTGTGTTATTTGTTCAAGGCTGTCCAAACATTTACAGAGCGCTGGCAGTCCTGGAATGCAGAGGCAGGGCTGAAACCGAGAGCAGCAGCCGTGGGAAACCGCTGCTCTCCTCAACCTCTGCCGGCTCGTTCTCCCTCAGGCAGAGTGTCAACACAGACAGTGCCAGAGATGTGTGGGGCTGATAGTGACAGCTCCCGTCAGCAGCCACACGCACTCGTGCACACACACGCACACACACACAACCACACACACGTGCAGTTTCCAGGAGGCACACAGCCGGGCTCACTGCCTCGCTTGCAGACTGACACACATTAACTGACGGAGGCAGAAGCCAGAGGCACCCGCTCGCCCTCTCAATCACACACACACACACACACGTTCATTGTTAGTTTGTACACCCACGCGCTCTTAATTCCTTAAATCTTCTGAAACATGTACAGAGGACATTAGTATTCTGCAATGTTTTGGTTACGTTTTGGATTCCAGAAAATATATTTCTTACTAGCCCAAGCCCATGTGTGGTTTTTTGTTTAGTTTTGTGCACGGCCGGTCACACTGTAATTGTCCTCATAATTTAAAAAGTGTAGAGCTCAGATTTTCTCCCTGTGTGGGTGTGGTGAGTGGCAGCAGCTCACGTTTTCTTGTGGAAACCACATATTGTTGACCAAGTTTTCATACAGAAGCTCTGATAAATCATACAATAAGTTTTATTTTAGTTTACCACAGCCTTCAGGGTACAGTGAAATCTCATTCCATGCTGTCCTGGATGACTGTTTTTTCCCTGAATTATTGTTTTCACTAAAGCCTCCAAATATGAAAATACGACTTCTGTTGATAGACAAGGAATTAATCAACTGGCTTAAGTTCTCGTTCCCAAATGTAACACAAGGAAAATGACCAGAATTCAATCATTTTTTTGTGCAGCACTTCACCTCGATGGAATTGATTATAGTCATGTGATCAAAGCATAAAGCAAGCGTTCAAATTCCACCTGTTAGTGCTCCTTGTTAATCACACGTCTCCAGGTGGGGACTCGCCCCTGCCAAGCATGAGAAGCGTGCCTTCTCTGAGGCCACACCAGGAAGTCAGCTGTTGCTGTGCACTGCTGAAGCAATATCCTGCGATAAGAGCTGATTTCAGGAAGGGACACACAGGTTCACGGCATGCCAGGGTGCAGAGCAAGTTTTCTCATATCAAGCTATACCTGTTTTCCATTCAGACTAGGCTCAGCAGATAACACAAAGCTGACTTGTTGAACCTCACACCTTGCCCTGATATCCAGCACATTCCCAGAGAAAAAAAAAAAGCTCAGTTTAAGTATCAGTCATTTTTCTTTTCTCCAGCCAAGATACAGGCTGACGGGGTCACCTGTACGCTGGGTGAAATTGTCAATATGGGAGCTGGCCCAGGATTGGACCGGGTCGGTTGGCTTCAGTTTAGATTTACAATTTATGCAAAACATCGTTTTATTTCAGGAAAACTAGTATCTTTGAAGAGGAGAGTTTTGCTATGATATATTGATCTACTCATGTAGATTTAACTCAAACTCAGATTAGTCCGTTTACCAAAATAAACAAATTCAAATCCAGTTTTGTGGTTACCGTAAAATATGCAAATAAAATGTTTACACCAAAAGGCGTTTTCTTTTTTCATGACATCCAATAGGACATTGGATGTCATGGCAGTGGAAAAATAGACGACAGTTTCAACAACAACAAGACACGACCTGAGTGCACTGCAGACAGCCACCTGCTTTATTTGTGAGTTGACAGCTAACAGAAAAAATGATGACTCAGATAGCATTTTGCTGAATTTCATTTTCAGCCAATCAGCATTCAAACAACACATAGTGCCGGCTTCAAAGTCTTTGTGGTTGTGTTTCATTTGGAGCACAGCACATCTGTCCAGCACGAATGAAGAAAAAAACACCACATACACTTCAGATTGAAGATGCTGAGAGCAACGCAGATCACCTTTGTGCACACAGAAATGCACCCTCAGGCCTGCCGTTTGCAAGCCATTAACTGTAACCGTAATGAATGAGCACTCCAGCCACACACGCACTGGAGAACATATAGAAGTCAAAGCGGACAAAAAGCAGAGACACAACACGGACACTTTTAATGAGACGAATGTGCATGAAAATCCTTCACATCCCTCCACTGCTGCTTAAAATGTAAAAGTATGCAAATGTTTAGCTATCGATCACCTAAAATGTTTTATGGGAAAAAAAATCCTGAGTACCTGAAAGTTAAGCTGTGTTAATGCCATGTCAATAAATATGGGCTTGGTCAGCGGCATTTTATGGTTTTATGGTTTTCAGCCTGCGTGTGACCCGGTGGTGATTACCATGCTGCCATCTCAGTGACAAATGTCTGCAAACCTGCTGATATTATCAAAGTCACTGTAAATATTTGCACGTAACACGTGAAGTGCTCCCTGGAAATAAATGCTATCTTTCATCAAAATATCATTAAGATATTCTTCTAACTGCTTTTTTGTTATTTATAGATCAAATAGAAGAGGTGGAATCAGTTAAAAGATCTGTGACAGCCAGCCAAAAGAAACAGAAAAAGATCCATCTTTCTCTCTCTCTCTCTCCCTTTTTTTTTTTTTTTGAAGCAACAGTGATTGTGGTAAGTTGTGTGGGAACCAACATGATTTTGAATAAAGAGGTTCATTTGCCTATGTATTGGCAAAATACCCAGTGTTTGTTGACACACAGCTTCAGGTAAGCGGAGCAGCTGCAGAACACAAAGGTAAAGCCAGTGCTTCCAGAGCCGGCTCACATGTGTGATACCTCCAGAGTTTGAAGGTATGACAAAGCTGAGCGAAACTTTCTCATCACCCTCCTCCGTGCACGTCTCTTTGTCCTCGCGTCTGGCACACACACTCCCCCCCCCGGCCTGCAGCTTCATACACCTGCCCTGGCTGCTGCCGTGTCGCGTTTCAGCGATGAGGCAACGTCCGACCAATCGGCTGCGGTGAGAACGGTTAGGGAGTGTGGTGGGAACTCTCCTCCCATCGCTCCTCTCTTACCTGGGCACTGAGGCAGCCCTCAGGGAAGGGCCGCCCTGCCGCCTGCTGTCTGAATGAACACCAAACAAAAACTCTCCAACAGGTGAGTTCCACGAGTCACTGTTGGTTTTTCTCCGGTCTTTTCTTATCCGCTCCCCCCATCATTATTTTTCATTCATGACTGGCACGCTGCTTTGCATTCTGGAAGAAAAAAAGACACAGAGAAACAAAACAGTCAAAGTGTGGGAACGCTTCTCTGTTCCTTTTTTCTCCTCGCGGGAGCTTTCATAAGTATTAACTGTGCTAACACAGGTATTTGTGCACCTGTGGCACTGGATTAGTGAATCTGCGTCTTCATTGTGTACCATCATAAGCCCTGTGAATTTTTTTTTCATTCCAGGTTTCTGCTTGAAAATACATGAAATCCTGTGCTGAGCAGCTGTAAAAGCTTTGATTTGTGAGCAAACTGTCGAAGCAAAACTGAGGATGTGCTCATACTCGAACCCTATGGATGGATTGTTTTGATGCCTTTATTACAGTTTGCCTTAAGGCATAGTGACCTACATCTTTCAGGTCATCAGACCTTGAGGTGTAATTAACTTCACGGTAAACAACCCATGTGAATACATATGACTCATTCAGACTTGAATCCTTTGGAGATACTGTAAATCATACACAAGCCGAGCTGAACTCAGAATTCATTTCACCACATAAGAGGCACAGGTCAGTACATGAATAAGGTAAGACATTGTAAATGATTGTTAGATGTTGATTCAGCACTGAGCAGCATCTATGTAGTATCTCCAAAGGAAAACAGGGGCAATAATAACAACATAAATATAAATATATAATTATTAACAATGAAACTAACATGGAAAACATCAAATGATTGTAAATGAAACAATTAATTCAATTTAAAAAAAAGATTTTACAAATTTGAGAATATATAGCTTTAAAGTGAATTCACTTTTAAAAAGCCCTCTTTTGTGACACTCTGAAGTGGAGCTTATCTGCATTTACTTGTTGAATTGATTCTGTTTTGAGGGAATTTGGCATCGCCAAATGCCAAAACCATTCACGACTGGATCACTGAGCAGTAGGTGTCACTACTGAGAACACTCCTTCTTGGCACAGCCACAGCACAGGAATAGCACGGGAAGTCTCGAAGGAAGTGCCGTATCCAAAAACAAACACAGCTACACAGTTTCAACATCTCTGTTTGACTTTCAGTGTTTTTAATCTCTTTGTAAAGTTTCCAATAGATTTAAATCCATTTTTTCCTACACAACACTAAACCGCATGTTGTGCCAAGTCTGGTGATGTAAGTTTTGGCACAAGCTAAGCCTAACGCCACAGCACACACACCAGTTTGAACACATCCAGCGAGGTGATGTTGCTCCAGAAAAAAGAAATTGCATCGCAACCAAAGTTTTCTGCATACATTACATTTTTCAGCTTGTATTCTGAAGTGTAGGCTTTTCTGTCAGTAAATCTGATAACTGGATGGACACTTTCAAGTCTGAAAGGATCATCCCACCTTTTCCACTGCAGCCCCCAACAGAGCTGCGCTATCAGTTTGAATGCCCAATAAAAAGAGTAAAAGGCTGACATTGCACTTCATTTAAAGCTGCATGCCCTTCACACTGCCTCCTACTTAGGCCATTGTCGTCCACAGGGACTTGGCTTTGTTGAGAGGTTCATGTTGTCCATAAACTAGAAGTCCAGAAAACAATAGATAGCCAGCTGTTTCCTAGACAAGCAGTGTGTTTTTGTGTCCTACAACAGGTGTTTTCTCATGATGTCATTTTTGGTAGCAACAGAATCTTTTGATTCAAGATGACCAATGTTAACTCCTTTTTTTTCTTTTTCTCTTGGATTGGACTAAACACAGGAGTAACTTTTTTTCCTTTTTTTTAAATTTTGACAAAATCACAAACTCCCCGTCATGACTTTTAAACAATGCATCACACTGATTCGCTTCTCTATCCTTTTTCACCTGTCTAACCTCTTCCAGAAACATGTATCCCCATCTCGTGCTCACAGAGATGAAGGAGAGGTAAAACCCATCCAAACAGTTCATTTGTCCCGGGTGAGGAGGATGTGCTCTCTTTAGGGCACCATTCACAGTGAGGTGTTAGACTCCGGTTTTCCCGAACAGCTCCCCGCGGCAGGATCATCCCACATGCTGGGCGGCTTTTGACTCTTTTGAAACTTTATAACTGGAGACTCCACAAAAAGGAAAAGGGGTTCTTTTTTATGTCAGTGAAAAGGTATTATATTGGCCAGAATTTTCTGATAGAGTCACAGCATTTCCAGTGGATTTCGTCTTTCTTCTTTTAGACACAACTGGTATCAGTAGCACTGAAGACAAACACGATATGTTTATCCTCTCTTTTTAGCTTCGGTGCTTTCAGTCTGCTTTTCTTTACCTTTCTGGCTGCTCTTTCGCCTCTTTTGTTCTGTTTCTTTCTCTCTTCGGTTTACAGCAGGTCCACAGGGGAGCGGGACATGTTTGCTCATTCTCTCACCAGAAGGGGCTGGTAGGGAGCTGGCAATCACAATGAGCAAATATGTTCATGCAAAGTCAACCTTACTGAGGGGAATTGTGGGTTGTTTGTTGGCACGTAGACGGGTATTTGGAGGCTGTGCTATGACCAGATGCCCCCTGCTTTCACAACTGTTACATTTCTTTGAGAGATGTTTTTTCTCGGTAGTTGTGTTGACGCTCTTCTGCCCTTTCTCTTCAAACCCAATGTTCACATTTTCAGATCACGTCCCCATGCACTGCTCTAACTTGTTGAAAAAGAGGGTCTATTAAAGGTCCAGCAGTACAGGAAGGACAGTCATTTGTTTCATATTGGAAATTGTGCTCTGATGTCTTACCAAAACATTGTGAAAAAGTTATAAACACTTTATATACTGTTATACAATTTTATTCAGTCGGCGAATGCTTTTAGAATGAAGGTTTTTCATCACACTGAAAGAAACCTCATCCATTGAAAAGCAACTGTCATTGTTAAAACTGTGATTCTGCTCTGGTACTTTGATTCGGGTAGATTAAAAGCTTAAACCAACCAAACGTCAACACGAAGCCGCGGTCAGTCAATTGCAAAAGCGACCGAAGAGCATCTGCTTGATTGAAGGCATGTGTGCATGAGTTCAAACCCAGTATGTCTGGGGAGAGGCTGGACAGGACTGGACAGCCTGACTGGTTCTATTGTCTTCTGAAGCAGCAGAGCAGGTTTGCCTCTGTCCAGTAGACCAGCCAGGCCTCAAGTGAATGAGTAGACCTACTGACCTTACTGAAAAAATCCTTTTGTGTTGCACCCTCAAGGCCTTTTTGTTGCCTGTTTTTACCTAATCCACACACTGTATTCTTAATAAGAAAGAACACATTCGCATCGTGTTAATACTTTTTAGTTAGCACTTTTTAGACAAGTCAGAGACATGATTTTGCACCCCCATACACTGAGTAGCAATAAAAATGTTGCTTGTGGGTGTAAGTAAATCTTGTTAGACTGCTTTACAGCACAATTTAGAGAGTAGTGTCACAGTGCGCCCATTGACTGTCTTGTTGTTCTTCAGTGTTCAGCAAGAGACCTAAGACACCTTGCATGGATGTGAGATTTTAGACGCAGCTCAACTGCATGCTAAGTACTGTATTAGTGGGAATAAAACTAAATACACACAGTATCTTTACCATGCGCAGTTTGCACATTTGGAGATACAAGTGAGCAGACACAAACAAAAAAGAAATGTGCTCTGCCTGAGTGAAATTGTGGGCCCATTATGTTCCTTTTCCTCTCAGCTTCCATGGTCCCTCCCTGTTTCTCCATGGAGGATGTGAGTTCTTGAAGCAACACAAAAGTTGACCACCTCATAAAGTTAGGTTTAAGCAAGCAAAAGTAAAAAGGGAGTACCACAGAAAGAAAAGAGGACAAAGGTAAGAAAATACACAAGAAAAGGGGGTTTTCTGCTCCAAGGGATAGAGGAATCCTATATTCTTGGAATGCCAAGAAAGACAAGACAGAGCTGAGATGAACAAAGAGGGAAATACACTTCTGTAAAAAAAATAAAAAAAATAAAGCTGTTCTTCACTTTTACCCTGAAAACCTTTGAAAAAAGACAAATATGTTAAATCTGCAGATAGGAAGATCATTGCGTATTCATGATACTGAAAAGCAAAGCACATGCTCGTGGAAAGTGGTAAGTTACATCCTTGTTGACCCTTGTAGATATTCATTACCTTCAACTTTAAAGAATGACAGGGTCTACAAAGACTGAAGCCCGCGCTCACATTTCCGATGTTTCCAAAAGGCATATTTTGGAAAGATGGCTAACAAATTTCTGTGGCATCAGAGACTCAGAAGGCCCTGTCTGTATCTCTGTAATCATCGTTATAAGGTCTTTCTTCATCTCCACAGCTCAGCCACTTTTAAGCCAGACCAGACTGACAATCTCAAGGTTTTGTTCTACGAGCCCCCTGCTGGAAGCTGGTCCCTAAGACAAAGCCCTGTTTACACTAATGGCCCACTAGGCCTTTTACCACAGAAACAAATAGCAGTGGGGGGAAGTCAATAGAATTTAACATTTTGACATTTTTCCTCCAGCTCTCAAAACCAATATTGACCCAGCTCCCCTGCATGACTGTCTTTAGACCAGGACCTTGGAATACAAATCAAGCCAAAGCAGCCAGAACCACAGGCAGCCGGTCGAGGGCTGAGGCCAACAATAGCCTGCCCAGGATGGGGCTCTCCCACTGGGCTGGTGGAGCAGCTACTGTCCCTGGTCTCAAGCTGGTCCACAGAGGTCTGATGTATGAAAGAACTCATGCTATCCCACCCGCTTTAATGATTCCATCTGAGAGGACCAATTGTGTCTGTATTCCAGACCCTGCTGGTGAGTGAGGTGCACAAGCAGAAAAGACACTGGGGGCACTCACATGTGCAGAACAACCCCATAGCGAGCCAGCACTTCTCAAAGGCCAGATTACAATCAATTAGAGCCTAATGAGCGGGAAGCTGGACTTGTAACCTGTTGCAGCAGGGTAGTTGTTTAGAAAGCTCCCAGTTGGCCGACACATCAATAACCTCTGAAACAGCTCGAGAGTGAAAGCGAGACGCAGCAGGGAGCGCCTAAGTGCGTGGCCATCTATGTCTGAGTCCAGGTTCTGCTGCTTTGCCCAACGTGACAGTGTTTCAGAGCTGTGGCAAGGAAAAGCAACAGTAGTCCTCAGACTTTTCTAAAGAATGTGTTTTCTGTGGCGTCCTCTTCAAGTCGGCCATCACAATAAGATTTATGCTTATGGGTGGGTGGCTTTGAGGTCTCCAGCAGAGAGAGGTAACAAAAACATTTCACAAACATAGCAATCACCAGCTTGTGTTCTTTCTATCAAGTGTGTCTGAGCATCCCTTCATACGTGGCAGTCACTGCAGAGGCGGAACTTTAGCTTTCACCAGAGAAAGGGCAGACTTGAATGTGTGCCACTGCACAGTGGGAGAGCTCGTCCTCAGGCCGCTGTTATGGAGCCCCTTTCTCCAGAAGGAAGGTTTTTTTTGTGTGGTGGGCTGGCCCACGGCTTGAAAGCAGGGGGGCAGTCCTATGTGAGAAGGTGAAACAGCAGGAATAGAAGGAACATTTTAGCCTGAGGGAGTTGAATTGTCAGGTAATGCGGATGCTGAAGTCCTGGAAAAGGCTCTCCAACTAGCAACATGACACAAGTTCCTCACAAATGTGTTCATTTACAGAAATTACAGTCTGATAACAACAACAGAAACAATTAAATTCCATGTAATCTATCTGCTTGTTAACCAAATATTGATTTATAATTAAAGAGATTTAAAGAGAAAATGTAATCAATTTTTTGGTTCATCATATTTTGATAATGTTGGCTTAGGCAAGGCAAGTTTATTTGTTTTGCACATTTCATGTACAAGGCAATTCAAAGTGCTTCACAAGTAATTTAAAAGCAGAAAAAAAGAAAAGAAGAATAATCAACAATTAGAAAAATTAGATAGATAAAAAGTGAAGGGTGCAGAAGGGATACAGAGATGATCACTCGCGTTACAGTGCAGCCAGAAATGGTTTTCATTTATCTAAATAAAGATAACATGTCTTTCATCAGCCTTTTTGTCATTTCCTGGCAGTTTGAAGCAGCTCACCTGTCTCACTCCTGTGAGCATGGGATCTCTAAATCCTTAAGACAACTTCTTTTCAGCTCTTTTTTTGTTGTTTGCATGGACTTCTTTCACCCTGTCCCAGCTCCAGTTTGTTAATGATCACAGTTAATCAATGCATGCTTCAAAATTGCCAATGTTCTCTTGCACACAGCTTGCTGACAGTTTCTATGTTGCCAAAGTGACACATCATGCTTCATCTGCATGTCTAAAATGTGTGGGAGAAGCGTCTGAATTGAAGTGGGACCCTGACTGAGTTTCAGTGAGCGACAGACAGTAGTGACAGCCTTAATTGTGTGATTTATAGCAACGAGGCAAAAGAACTTTTGGCTGATGTCCCAAGACTTTTCTTTAAAAACTACTTCTGAGTAGTGGTAGAAGGTCAAACTTTATTGTAGGCAGACTGAAAATGTGATTTAAGCATTAAAACTATAGAACATGGAAACCTGATCTACTATCCATACTAATTTCGACCATCCTCTTAACTCATTATTGTAATTTTGCAAAACATAAAATTGCCTCACTGAAATGTTGTGAGTATGTGCAGTGAACTACTTTTGAGCTCATAAAACAGATCAGCTTTATCCACCGAGGGGGACTAAATTAAAATGACCTTCCCCTTTTAAATCTCCGTCTCCACATGCTCGCCGTCTCATGTTCTGATTGATGTGGGAACATTCACCAGCCCCAGATGATCATTTTAATATATGATGCTGGTAGTTTTGGCATGGCAAGCAGTCGGGCACCACCGCTCACCACTGTGCTGAAACACTTTTAATAATCCAGAGCCGACTGTGAGGGCCCGGGCTCCGCCCGGCTCCCCACCCGCCACAACTGAGCAGCTCACCTCAGCAACCTCAAAGCAATGGCGAGCATTTAGTAATATTGAGCGGCGGTCCAGGAGCTTCTACTATAATGTACTCTCTGACAGCACTAACCTCCCATAGCCCGGGAACCCCCTCCTTAGGTTATATTACAACACAGTGGGAGCTCAGAGAGGACAGGACGGGAAGGAGCGATTGTTTGGAAGTTCTCAAGAAAAGCTGGCATGTTCCCAGGCTACAGTGGGGGTAGGCTTTCTCCCCGCATGCCATGCGCTGTATAGTTAAATTAAAACTAAAGCTAGTTGCTCAAGTGTATGGTTTGTGTTGGCTTGTTTTTCCTCCAGCTAACCATCACCTCAGCTTCTTCAGAAGTGTCCTCATTTAAAAGCAGGCGCCTCGACCCCTTAAGAACCTTTGTGGGGTTTTCCTGTGTAAGTATTCTAAGAACCATAGTGTAGGTGGCACCATTCAAATCAAAACTGCTTGTGGTGAAAATAATGCCACATGGTAGAACTGACTGTGTGTGAGAGACATGTTCCCATGACGAAATATTGCAAACAAAGCCACAATTCACTGTCTCCGTCTGGATCAGATAGAGAAAAATAAACACATGAAATGACTACAGAACAGCATCCTATGAAGGCAGCTCTGCATAGGCAAAGCCCCAGTATAACAACATTTTCACTAATAATCACAGAGAATGAGGAGATGGGAGCATGAAGTGAGTTTTCAGTGGCTCAGTCGAAAGATCATACTTGTATTATTCTACTATTCTTTTTCTGCTGTTACACACAGTCACTGATGTCAGGTTAAGCATTTACTTAATTTCATTTTTCAATATCTTCACCTCCTCAAGAAAATTGATGCTAATATCTCATTTATATCAGAAATTCATAAAATGATATTTTAGTCTACCGGCTAAAAAGAAATGTTTGCATCGATAAAAAAATATATGTATCTTTTAAAGAGCTGAATAAAGACTTCAGACTAAAAGAATTGGAATTTAATCAGTATTTTTCTTGATGACGCTTTAAAGTATTAAATCATTTCAGATTAATTTCTTCAGTCTTGTGATCATGATTTTACCAAGGGCAGGGATTACTGAGTCCTGATTTGATATCTGTCAGGCAATATACTCGTAAAAAGTCAGCAGAGTTGATAAAGAAGATATATTTTGTGTAAATTCATTCACAAACACTAAATGATCTTTGATATTTGATCTTTGATATTGAGGCAGAAGTTAGATCCAGACTTCTGTCCCCAGGTCTTCCCATGCAGTTGCCATCTTTTCATGTTTGTTTGTCATGAGTTTAGTCAACATGTAATAAGAATAATTCAAGTGTTTCCTTTGCCATGTCATTGTGCTTCTCCTTTCATGGATCTACTCATTACTGCTCTCCTGTCTTGCTTTCGATTCGACTGTGCATGTTACAGACATCTGGCTTGTTCTTAACCTGCCACTTCTACTTTGTGGTCTATATTTGGCTCTTGGTGAATTGTGAATCATCGCTTTTTTAAGAGAGTTCAACCAAATGCTAAGTGGAAGAAGCTTATTTAGACCCACTATATGCACTTACCAAATGCTTAAAGTGAGAGTAACCAACTTTGTGTCTCGTGTGTGAACACTCTTAAGCCAACATAACAGAAGGGTTTCCTGTTCTACTTCGATCTGTAATTTGTGAATTCAGCTTGATTAAACACATTCTGTCCATTTGAGTATTTGGTTCGAATGGGCTGACCTGATTATCCTGCAGTGTGAAAGGACTGTGTTTGCGAGAGGTTTTAGGAGCACTGGTAATGCTGACCTCTGACCGTTTTCTTCTTATTTCTTATTAAGTAGGGATACACATCAGCCAGTCTTTCTTACTACCCTTTCTCTTATGGCAACTACCAAGCAAATAGTGTCTACTTGCCTCTTGTTACCTAAGCTTTCCATTTGGCCTCTGGCGTCATATGAGTGAAGAGTCTCTTTCCTTGGAGAGCTACGCTCCCCAAGACCCAGACGAGCACAGGAGCACTTGTCAGGATCCTGCCGTATTGTGGCATGAATGGTGTGGCCTCAATGCAAATTCTTCCACACTCTCAGGCAGCAAAGGCCAGCATTGACTGACTGGTTGTGTTAATTTAGCTGCCTTTCAGTCCTACTTGAACCGAATGTCTTCTGTGCCTCAATGGCGACAGAGTTAAAAACATCTGAAGTGTCAGCGCAAGAATGTGCCGTTCAGCCTCGGAGCGACGCGTCGTTAACAAATGTCGGACAACAAACAAGCAGCTGTGGTTAAACAAACTAGTAAGCAAGAGACTAGTTAACCACTCTGTTCATTGATAACCGCGTGCACTGAATGGTAGGTGATCCATTTGAAAAGGAGGCTGGCAAGCCCCCCACATTTATGAGGGAAATCTGAAGTAGCTGCAGCATGACTGGAGTGGCGTTTTTTCTCTCCGTGGGGAGGAACTATACCCTCTTTTAGTCATTCTGCCCAGTGACATAGCTGTGGAAGCCCACACAAAGGTTTCTTAGGGAATGGCTCATAACAGCTCGGTGCCCACACTGGCTGACTCAGATCCAGAGAGCAGACAGGGCCCAGCACACGTACACAGGCTTTTTTACGCAGACATGAGAGACTGCCGCTCTGAGGTGGTGCGCTGATGAATCGTGCGGCACAGCTGTGATTTACAAGCTGGTTTTGACAAGGTTGCAACCTGTTCTGTTCGCGCCCTTTCCTTACAGGAGAGGAGACACCAAAAAAAAAATGCCTGCATGTTCATGTTACAGCCCAAATTTGAAGACAACACTTACCAGGGGTTAGGTGCCACTTGTCTGAACCATGCTTACTTAAGCTATTTTGATCTGAGATGATCCCCTGGAAATTGACTAAGAAAAGGAAGGCTATTAAAAATCATTCTGAACTTTTAAGAACAAAATCACCCCTTGGCAAAATAGCCACAGCTGTTTTCATTACTCAAATTAAGTTACATAAATAATCAGGATTATAATGATTCCCAAATAGTGAAAACTCTTTCATTCAGAACTTCTTTTAATGAATAAATGTCATGAACATTTGAAAGAGTGAGTGTGCTAGAAAAGTCCACTGTATGGCCAACCAATTTGGAAAAGTTTGAACCTTTTGTCAGCTCTAAGAAGCATCTTCCAGCCACTTGTGATCATAAGCAAACATTCTAAAAGCCGGAGTTATTGTACCAACAGAAGGATTACATGGAGATTATTTACATTTTTATCTGAAATGCCCCACCTTTGTCACACAGTAATGTTTTTTTCTCTGTTTTACTGGCAGTCTAAATACGTTAAGAATAATTTAGGAAGAGCGTGTGACACCAAGACGTTGTAGTCATGGAGAGGTGCACACACTGACCGGTGTAGGGCAGAAAAGACAGCTGAGCCGACTGTATCTGAGCACAAACAACTGAGGTTAGCCCACTGAGCTGAAACAAAATAACTGCACACATCCATGATGTGACATCTGGCTAAAGTCTAATGTCAGATGTTCGGCATTCACGACAGCCAGATATAACCAATTTGCCTCAATGTACAATCATTTATTTCAGAGTTTTTTTTAAATGTATGAAACCCAGACAGCCGCCTGTGAGTCCTTCACCACAGTGTTGTCTGCTTGCTTAAACAAAGGCAGTCTGCAACGCTCTTTAACATTCAGTCTTTCTGCTGTTTGATGTTGAACTCCCAACAATGGAAATAGCTCGGATCTTTCTTTGAAAACTTTTCGATGGCCGAAAAACGATAAAATGATCACAGTGAGCGAGAATAGTAAGGCTATGACCTGTAAAACCACGTCATTGAGCTGAACAATCCAGAAGTGCTGAGGGCAAAATAACAGAGATGCCTCCATGGGTTTGCCTCTATTCATTTACTTTAATCAGGTTCCATTAAACCTGCTATTATCCTTTTTACCTGGACACAGCAAGCACAAGTTTGTGATATAAAGAACTGTTAAACGATTGAATTACATTTAATGGTATGGGTGGGTCAGGATTAAGCTTTTTTAAAACTTTTTTATCTTTAATGTATGTGTTATTCTGTTTAACACTATCCAATTTTTCATTTTTTAAATCCACAGAGTAAGTTTCAGTGGAAGCAGTGGAATATCAGCACCTTTGTTATTAACCTGTGTAATATTGGATGAATAAAATTGTTCACATCCCAATTCTTGTCTCGAGAGAATAAAAAATGAAAACTGATTATCTGACTTCCTTTTTTAATGCCTTTTCTCAGTAACTGTGTTGAAAGCTATCTGGTGAAACACTGAAAAATCTCAGAGTCACTAGTTGCAGTATTTCTCCTTCAACTGTTCGGGTTTCCTGGTCTTTGCACCCTGTACAGACACCCTAAAGAGAAATTGAGACCAGGCCATGATCGTTCCTGACCTCAGGCACTGAGAAGTAATAAATGAGAGGTCAAAAGGCTGTTTCATGCTCTGTGACATCCTGGCCGTGGTGGTGACAGCATCGGGTCTGATGGGCTTTTTGCTTGTGACAAGAGTGGTGGACGCACGGCTCTGCCTCCCAGCAGCACTCCGGTGGGCTGTGGGGAGGCTCGCAGGAGGTGAGTGATGGGCTGCACTGGGATTGGTCGGACCACTTCCTATTGTTCCCCTGTCACTGATAACCTCAATGACCTGGGCGAAGGAAGGAAGGCCACTGCTTGGTTTGTGGCGGTGGGATTGTCAGCTCTTTGTACTCTGATAACTTATTAACCCACAGAGTCTTCTGAGAAAAGAATGATTTCTCACATGGCTCGCCTTATGGTTAACTCAGAGTAAACAGATTTTTTTTGGCTTCTCTCTGCGGAGAAGCAGACGGTTGCAAGACGGGTTTGATACTCTCCATGGAGACTATAAGCAAACATCCGGTGGGGGTGCGGGGGGGACAGATAAATGCTTTCATTCAACACTTTGATTCATATTTCTGTCTGTCTCTCACTACTATTTGAGCCACAATTTGACTCGTGTTCACGGTCTCATGCATCTCGCATACAAAAGCTTTAAAGTCTCCCTCACCAGTTAATATTTCTGATAAGGCCTGCAGGGCTGGATGTGGTCAGGACACACAAGCAGAAAAGAATCGGCCACAGCTGCTCCTGACTCCTCAGGCAGTTAGCCTGTGTCATGTGTGTGCTGCTTTAATTGTACGCTGATCAGCGTTACTTATGTAAGGCTCTCACTTGGGCGATGTGCAGCTGTTTGACTTCGAGACAAAAAATAGTTCAAACTGTCTTGTGTGCAGGAAGACTGGCATCCTCAAGTGTGAAAGAAGAATCCATTCCCTGTCTGGAGCTCTAAAAATACCCAAACATTGGGGAATGTGTAATGATGTGGTTGCACGTCTAATGGAGAGCAGGAAGGAAGCAATGTAGATGGAACAGGCGTCATCACCAGATTTTTATATATAGCTTCGGATGACTTTGCACACTTTGAAAAAGGTTTTCATGCAAAGCATAAGACTTACCTGAGGAAAACAGACACGTATCTGCTGCTATTGAGTCTTATAGCTCCATTAGGAGTGAATTAGACAGGAAATGGAATTTTAAAAAGCATGTGTAATGTCATATCTCATTTCAGCAGACATTTTCACAAGTTATACCCTTTAGAACTTTGTTGTTCGAATCCATAATGGTTCCCCAGGAACCCAAAGCTGGTTAAATGTGTCTTCCAGCTCTACCCGTGTTATAAAAAAGGAATAAATTATTTTAAAAACACAACTTTACCATCAGAAATGCAGCATAACAAATACTAGGTATCTATTTCTGCGGATCAAACCCATCCTCTGTAATTGCCATGGCTATCAACAATCCATTAAACAACCTATTAGAAGTCTCCAAAATACTTCTTTTGTTTTTTTGTGCCTGCATGTACTGAGGTAGCCAACATATTTAGAGTTCAGTTGCTACGTTCTTACACATATCAAGTGCAAACATTTGAAATCCAAGATGTCTTTCTGAACTCGGGTTCACATTTCATGAAGGAGACTTTTCTCAAACTGTGATTTATTGTCGCCCCTTTGTGGTCAATAGGAGGTACTGCATCCACTATATTCCGTCCAACATTTGTTTATGGGTTTAAATAATTTGATATAAAAAATGTAACAATAACCACTGTGCTAGCTTTGATGTGTTTCAGTAAATCATGCTTTGTACAATAATTTAACGTTAATGTCGGTCCTGTAGTTTGAATTCTGCAGCGTTGGTCTGGTGGACTCCAGTGTTTTTAGCTGTGGGTGACATTTGAGGTGGGTGTTTTGTTTCAGCACCTGATCAGATCTGATCTTATTCTTCCTGATTACCTGCAGGCTAAAAGTTAATACCAATTTAAATGTAATCTCTGGACCAGACTAGTTCCTGATGTTTTGAGACAGTCCTTGTTCACCTTGCTATCCAAATTCCTAAAGTTATTTTTTTTAAACAAAACTTTAAAGTGATGTCAATATCCTGTCAAATAATTTTGATAACTAAGACCTGCTTTTACACTTGTACTGCTCTTCTATTTTTAATCAGACACAGTACATTATGTTTTAAATCTGTAATCCTCTTGGGTGATTTATATAATGTTGCAAGTGTATGCGACCACCCCCAGAGATCCAGAACACAAAGCTTTGTCCTCTGTTTTCTGACCTGCAAATGCCATTAACCAAGGATGCATGGCAACAGGACCGAAAACAAACTCTGTTGAAATGTCCCATTATAGAGCTGGTGCTGAATACATGTGTTTACTGGTCTTTGTTTAATTAACGCTCAATTCCCTTGCCCAACACAGTCAACAATCAGGGTGAAATTCTGTTGCATTAGCAGCTGTGAAACAGCCCAAACAGATCCCAATCTTAAGTCCACAAGCCGACTCATAAGAGCCTAATCCTGTTGATGGAAGCAGAATCCCACCCGTGTCAGAACGACCCACCGCCCCAGGTGCAGTAGCCACACACACAGGCTCTGGCTTGTCCTCCCTCATCACACAGGATGAATTGAGAGGACCCTCTTGGGCATACATCCCAGAATGGGGTTCAGCTAATTAGAAGGTCTGTTTCTCATAAATATCTATGGTGATGAAAATCAGGCAAATAAAGGCTGCAATTAGAGCTTCCAAGTCTGTGAAAAGCTCATTCTCAAAAAAGGCCAACTTTTAAACCTGAAGTCCACATAGTTAGTGTAATATCAATCCACATAAATCTACTATTTTCAAATTAGATCCTTCAATTAATCTACTCAGTAATAACAGCACTGTTAGCAAGCAGCAATATCTATCATATGCTGTATTTGTAATTTAATTTGCCAGTAACAGCCCATCATCATTAATCAATGCATTCCACAGCAATTAAGGCACATTAGGCACCAGTTAAGTGCAGTTTAACAGCTCATGATGAGATCAAGACTGATTGGTTATCTTGGCATCTTTAGTGTCAGTGACATTCTCACAGAAAAGATTGTCCTGTAATCACATTGTCTTTACTAAGTCTTACTGACAACCATAAACAAAGGCTCAGCTCTCCAAAGCCACCCTAATGGCACATTTCACATTCATGTAGCCAATATACTGTGATATCTGTGCTCTGTTTTACCTTATTTTAATTGTACACCACTGCTAACCCGAATGGTCATTTGCCAACTATGAATGTTGATAGTCACAACAAATGTGAATTTAAATTATTCTGTCAGAACAATTTTTTTTAAAAAGAAAAACATTTCAGACATGAAGAAACAAAATGCAATTGGTAAGTAGTTATTTCAGATATTATTTGGAAGGTATATTAGTGCCTTGGAATGAGAGACAATTGTATATTTTAACTGCTACAATATAAATGTATTTATTATTTTGTATGAACGTTTAAAAAGAATATATGAACTGTAAGTTGCTGTTTTGAAGCATTGGTTTACATACGTGTGTGCACAGTGAAAAACTGTTTTATCCTCACAAACCCCTGAATTAAACTTAAATATTCTGATTCTGATTCTGCCCATCATTAAAACTTCTCAGACAGACCGCTCATTGCCTGAGAAACTGAAGGTTCACAGTTTGGTGTCTTGTTGTATTTATGTAAGCTATTGTGAAAATAGCTTCCATAAACTAAATATTCTGAAAATGTTTAGTATTGCAGAGCTCAGCAAAGCTGGATTCATGTCAATCAATATTACGTTAGTCGATTAATAGTTACATTTTCACCAACATCTGTCTTCTATAAACCCCAAAAGTGTGTTAAAATTGAGTCCTTTTTGTGTTTATTTCTGTTGCATGATACCACAGAAGCTATCAGCATGTTATCAAACGGTTCCACTTCCCTCTTGCTTTCCTCTCCTGCAGTGTCTGGAAAGTTTGGCTTGGAAAGGTTCGGATCCACTCTCCATCCATGATGTCACGTCATCGTCAGCTGACTCACACACCTCACATGACACCCATATCTGCTGAGAGGGCTGCTGCTGTGTCTGATTTCATGCTTGTTCCTACAGGCACCGTTGCATTCTGAACTCTTCAGCACTTCAAAGACACTCATTGATATAACGTATTTTGGCACCTTATCAAAACCCAAATAATACTTCCATTAAAACTTCTGCCTAACCACTCAAGCGGTCATCTTCTGGGGAATCTATTTAAAGTTCAGAAATCTTATACCTCTGTTGGTTGCTTGCTGTCAGAACACTGCGTGTATTACGTGATCTGAAGCACCGCTCTATATTTAACAAATCATGGGGCTTGCTTCGCAGCACGCTCATGTACAAGAACGCCCACCAGAGTGGATACAGCATGGTTCTGCTGAGACTTCCATGAACTCTGTCTCATGCTCTTCAGTAGAAGCAGAGCAGGTAAGATGTCTGTGTTGAAGGAGAGAACAGTACATTAAAAAAGAAAACTCACTGTTGCCATGCTGATTTTTTAAATATCATGACGTAACCTCAGATACAGTTACAGGTTACATTATTACTCATTTAAGGGACTAAATTGAGCTGCAAAAAATATCTACTTCAAATCGACGTGTTTGTGTTTTGCAGTTGCAAGAGTGGTTTTATTAATGCCCTTTCAACCTATGGCTTCTTTTGGTTTGGTATTTAAGCATGTATTATGAAATATTTGCTTTTGATTAAACTGTCATTTAAAAAACTTTTATCTAAAACATTTACTTTTATATATGTCCTTATAATTGATGTATTTCATTGCAGGAGGTCTTGGGCCTGAGTCTAAATGGATGACTTTGAATACAGTGTGGAGATCTGTGACCGGGATTGGGAGTGCTTCTTTGCAGAGTGTGAGGAGTGTAATCTGCTTCCTCCTTCATTAGCAGGCGTTGATGATTCAGGGATGAGTGACATTGATGACACGGGTTCCATTCTTGCCCAAAGGACCCATAGACTCAACTCAACACAAGGCTTCTCAGAAAATCCGCGTCCTATTGACAGCAACCCTGAATGTGAGGGATCCCCTGTGGAGTACCGGCTTACAGAGCACTGCACCGGGGGTCTTGATAGCATTCTTTCGGGCAGCGAAGAGGACTTACACCTGCAGTCAGTCAATATATTTTTCGAAAAGCTTAAAAATCTCACAGGGGCTGAGTCAAGCCAAGAAAAAAGCCAAGATAGAATTGAGAACAAGGTGACGCAACAGGAGGCGCAGTGTGGTGATGGGCAACCAGCCAGTCGAAACCATTCCCCAAAAAACTTTCCCAAGTCAAACCTGGTGCCTGCCAGGAGTGAAACAGCACTTGGCAAAGAACGCGGAAAGCCTGTTGAAACAGGTCGGGACTTAAAGACAAAGGAACAAATCAAAACTGAGTCAAATATTTCCACTGAACTTGCAGCCTTGGGTAAATCAGACGTCAAAAGTTGGACAACAGCTGAAATAGAACTATTCATTAGGGAGGAATCCAGCATAGAAACAAGAGTAAATGAACTAACACAGGGGAATGAGCCTCATGACTCAACAAATGATGTTGTCTATTCAGAAACAACACCTCAGCCCTTCAAATTGGAAACATGCAAAAATCTGGACGAGCAGGAGGGTTTGCTGACACTGCTCAGTAAAAATTGTGTTATGAGGGAAGATCCCATCCCTAGCCAGGAGTCATCTCCATCTTCCTCTCTCAGGAGGAAAAGGAGAAAGAAGAGACGATTCAGTATGGAAGTAGGTGAATCTGGACAGGCATGTGAGAGGCAGGTTTTAATCAAGCAGAGTGACTCAGAAGAGGACCAACACACATTAAGACAAGGAGCAGTTCCGTGTTTCTCAGAGGAATCGGCTCATTTAAGCAAGCTACAAAAAAGTCTAGCCTGTATTTCAACCCCATGTTCAGTCACCAGCATTTTGCCAGTGGACATATCTGCAAATGAAATAGATAATGAGCTCTCCCACCATGTTCCTCCATGTGATGGTCAGCACTTGCCAAACCCTGTGCCTGAACTGAGAAGGTGGACAGCATCGGGCTCAGCTGAAAATAATGTGTCAAACCACAAATTAGTAAGTGATGACAATGCAACGTGTTCTGTAAGCAGCTGTGCTAATGGCGCCACACATTTACAGCCATGCAGCAAACTACAGCTCAGAAACTCCACTGGACTGATTGGAAATGGAAATCAGAATCACATTACAAAAGCATGCGATCAACAGCAGTTTGAGAAAACAAATATTTCTGTCAACAGCCATGAAGATAGAGAATATAGAAAATATACCACGGCAGAGGTCAAAGCAGTCAATCCCTTGCCAAGCACAGACTCATGTGCTTCACCTGTGGAAGTCAGCCAACGGGACAAACAATCTGCTGCTAAGTCAGTCCTGGCTGCAGAGGCTGGAAATTCTGGCAGAGATGAAAGTGCGCTGTGTCAAAATGAGGCTGAGCTCCAACAACAGCTGGAAAGCGACTGTCACAACTCGTATCCGTGTAGTCACACGCAGGAAAATGTTCACTGTCCTCCTCCAACAGTAACTGCGATCAAGTCTCACACTGATGCTAAATCTTCGACACTGAAAACCAGCGATGAAGCGATTCCCCCACCTCCAACATCAGATTGTTGTAATCGGTCAAGCTTGCTGCCCACAAACTCAACCTGTGGAGATCAGGAATCTCCAACAGATCATCCAGTGGCTGTAAAAACATCATATATGGCCCTTGAAAAAAACACTACGCAAGGAAAAGATTCATTAGAAGGATCAGAAAAGCTGGTTTTAACCAGCAACAGTCAGACGGAAACCAAACTATCCTCTTGTGAAGACTTAGACGGAAGTCCTTCAGATATCACTGGGGTGTCATCCTTCTGCACTCTGGACACAGACTCTGTCATGTCAGTCTCAAATGAAAACCTCACAGACATGTCAGCGAGCTTTTGTTCGTCTGCCAGTGAACATGAGTCTGGAAGTCAAGGAGAAAGAAAGGCGCCAAGCTTGGCAAAACACGGGGAAGGAGACTTATCACCTGGACCCAAAAGCCAACCAGAATGCAAGTTTGATACCTCAGGGGAAGCAGGGGAAGCAATCACTGCATCAGAGGCTTTAGAGGAACATGAACAACTGGGGAATTCAGTATTTGCCATGTCTTCTTTTTGGCGAGAAATGGAGAAACTGACAATAAATGACATTCTGGGTTTACGAAATATCAGCAACGTTTCTCATACAAGCTCTCTGCCTCCTGTTCAGGAAAGTGAGGAAACAGAGCCGTTTACTGTGTCTGACCAGGGAAATCTGGCTCAAAACAATGGTTCTGCGCAAAACAAGCAAGCCACCGCAAAAACCTCAGGGACTGACTCTTTGCCCTCAAGGAGCGTCACCTGGGAGAGTGAGCCTGTCCCAGCGAGCCACGGCCGCATAATTTATCCAATGAATCCGTTACTGACGTCAGCGACAGACACTCCTGAGCCTGTCCTCAGTGAAAGGGCTCAAAAGTGTCTCAAAAAGATCTCCAAAACCATCAGCGTGCACAATTTACAGGCTCTGGAGTCTGCGTCATTCAGCCATCCACAGAAAGGTGAAACCTTTCACACCTTAAGCGAAACAGAACCTGTTGAATTTGAGAATTTGACAGGGGAATCTCCACATAAACTTAACACAGGCGAGAAATCTGCACCTTCTGTCACAGACAGCTACAGCATTTCTCTTACAAATATATTTCAGTATCTCTTTGGAGGCAAACAGTCAGTTCCACACCACTCTGCCACAAATGATGTATCAGCCCTCTACATTGGAGGAAACACTGTCCCTGAAACATACGATGATTTCTTCTCAGAGTTTGACACAGAAAACTTCTTCTACCCTCTCATAACAGCAGAGGAAAAGAACCAAGACCAGACTGTCCCCATTTTTTCCTGTTCTCGCTCAGCTGGACGCAATCTACAGTTCCCAGAGGCCTATGAGTATTTTTTTGCATCTTCCTCATCTGATGATTCATCTCTTGACTCTGATGGGGAAGATGACAGTCCTCCTGTGAGGGTGGTGAGCAGGTTCAGTCAAAAGGCAAACTCAACCGTGGCTGAAACGGATATATACGAGGATCTGTTCGCCGACAGTGACTTAATGGGTAAATTGTTCTGTCTGAAGTCACTTTCCTTCCGGAAAATCAAATTTACCACATCTGCAGACCGGAATCAGAGGTCAAACTCTGGGTCTCTTGTCCCCGTGAGAAAAAGTTGCACGTCCACACTGATGGCTGAGCCTCACATCAGTGCACTGAGAAACCCAGATGTGTTGTTTGCCGATCCGCTGCTCTGCCACTGGGAAGAAAGAATCTCCAGACAACTCGCACTGCAGCCTTTCAGACATGAGGACTTGCAAGCAGCTGTTTCAAATCCAGGTGAGACCACTGTAAGACTGGGTTTCGTTCTGTTTCACAGGAAGCTCATTTGGGTTATTTTGACGGATGAGAGTGACAACACACTGAAAACAAGAGAGTAACTCACTTTACACAATTTCATTTACTTCTACTCCAACTTTACAGGCATTTTATGCACAGGCCAGAGATGAGAGAAAATGTGATCCACAGAATGAGTTATTGCAGCTTTAAAATCATCAAAATTGCAGAATGCACTTAGATAATAATCAAAATGTATGCAAAAAGTTACTCAATGGACAGATTTTCTGGCGCCAATGCCGTCACAAACCAGATGTGAACATGTTTTTCCGCATGTCTGAACTAAAACTCGTTGGCGCCGTTTGAAGCAAACCTCCCGCAACATTTCATCAACATGGGGTGATTCAGGTGGTTATTATCATGGGCTGGCCCTCTGCAAGCTTGAAACATCTTTGTGCAACTTGCATTTTAATGCAATCTTTCAAAGAACTAAATCAGGACTGCTTTAATTCTCACTAGCTGCCAGTCACAGAAAACAATGGGCATCCCTTGCTTGACCTCTTCACTGAAGCGTTGTGTAGTTCACATGTGGACATACGATAATGCAGACACATCACCCACTCAGCTGTTCCAGTCATGACCTGGACAGATTCTCTTTCCTCAGCTGTTAGGCGACACTGCAGGCACGTAGAGCTGTGGCCCAGAGGAATGGTACTACGTGATAAGTTGACTTCTCCCGATGAGTGTCTCCTGTAAGCTGCCAGTAGAACGCTCTAATTTATGTCTGGCTGTGAAGTGAAATAAAAATATCTCGTCTTGAGGAGCCTTAAAGAAATTCCTACTCTGATTTTAATTATTATTGTGGCATCTAATGTTTAGGGTATACACTATCATCAAGAGGTCTTGTGTGTTTGGGCAGGTTTCCAGTGTCTAAAGAGATATCCTCTCATTGTAGGGTTGGATGCACCCCTCCTGCCCCTCAAACAATCAGATATGTGTCTGGTCTGTATTGCTTTTGCTTCATGGGTGCTAAAGACTGCCAACCCACAAGTTGGAGATGCCTGGAAGGCTGGTAAGCATGTTAATATTGTGTGTAAAGTACTTCAAATCAGCTGCAAAGTTAATATTGTAACACTTATGTTATAAAGCCTCAAATTTTTTGTTTGTGTATTTCTTATTTATAAAACACAAGCACCATAAACTTAATATGGTGTGAAAAAGTTAGGCTAAAATGTATAATTGTCCTTTTGAGGATGAAACTTCTGTGTATGCACTTTGTGGTAACATCTTGAAAACACTTAAATGAATTTAAGAGCAGGAAAAGTAACCATAACAAAAATCCAGTGGAAAATAAGTTTCGGTCTGACTACTGTGATGACGCACTTCCCACTTTTATTTTCACACAGTTCTGCTGGCGAACGTAAGTGCCCTGTCCGCCATCCGATACCTTCGGAAATACGTCAAAACGGAGGCTACAGCCAGCCAGATGACACGGCATCAGGCTGCATTGACATATCCCTGATCTGTTTCTAAACATGGGATGAATTCGATGAGTCATTTTCCAGGGAAGCCTAATACAAGCCTCTGCAACATCCCAGTCCAGTGAGGAAAGCTGGGTGTGCTTTCACTACATTTACTGCAGACAAAATGATCTTACAAAGAAATCACTTATGTGTCATCTCCACTGTTAAAAGTTCTTACTAAATTATTTTAGGGAAATAATTTCCTCTTTCTATCACGATAGCATGAGATAACTGAAGGCGGAATGAGGCATGTTTGTTCATTTGAGAAAGGTATTTGGACATTTGTAAATAATGTTTTTGGGTAAGTTCTGAAGGGAGAATTAAGGTGAGTTTATGCAGAGCTGTACAGATGTAAGATGATAGATTATCGAATCATGATTGTATTCATTATTCTCAAAGCCTTGAGAAATTCATTGAACAGTATTCTTTATCAGTATGTTAGACGTTTTATGAAGGGCATTCTTATTTTCATGATGGATGGTGTGTAAATGAATGCGTGGTGTTGTCTTGTGCTGAAAGGGACAGCTTCCAAGCACTAGAGGGCGACGTAAGTTTACGTAAGAACCTGACTTGCTGTAGCAAATCAGTAAAGCTTGGAATTGCGCTCAAAAGTTTAATGTAAGATATCAGATTGTATAAGAAATCCTATTGTTGTGCCTGTAAGTAAGATAAGTTGAAGATATCTCACAAGGATGTCATAATTTTGCTATCATAGCTCCTTTTTTGATCAATTCTGGAACGTTCAATTAAATTGACTGCATTCCACCATTTCCAGCTGTAATTTCTGTCCTTTTTGTTGAAAAAAAAAACAATTTTGCCATTTAAAAAAACATTCTGCATTTATAAAACATTCATTTGAAAAAAGCTACATGTATTTAATTGAGAAGTTTTATACTGGCGCTTCGGTTATGTGTCTCCAAAAACACCTGATTCATATGAATGGGTCTTCATCAGCCTTCTGCAGGGCTTGAAGAGCTGAGCAAAAGGGCCAGGTTTTAATACATCTAAGTAAGAATACTTAGACATGCACCGCTCTGCACCTTGAAGACCAGGGTTGGGAAACACTGCTTATCTGGTCTTAGATTGAAGTCGGCACAACCTCATATGATTAGTACATGACATATTACACTGTGTAATTGTTTGATTCATTTAGTATTTTTGTTTTCTTGCTGCCCTGGAGCATCCAGATGTGTGTTAATACAGTGGCAAGTGGGAAAGACATCAGCCAGGGTCTATCCAAAGGAAATTTCTGCTACCTACAAATGTGGAAAGAGTTACAGGACCTTAGACTCTTATATTCAACTGTGAGGAAATCATTCACTTGTGGAAAGTATACAAGATAATTACCAATCTTCCAGGACAACTACACCCCGAGGTCAAGCATTGCAATAAAAGCTCAACATCTACAAAACTCAGAAAGCGTTTTAACCTCCTGAGACCCTACGTCCTCATCTAAGGACATTCCAGTTTACTATGATGCTTAAGGGAGGTGTGTATGAATGAATGCAGCAATGCTGTCCAAAACAGTAGCTTTACAATGAAAATATAACATCATACAGAAAACAACTTCGTAAAGGTTGTTTTGTGCGAAAGCAACTGAATCATGACGTGTACATGCAAAATACTTCTTTTTTGGCTTCAATTTAATTGATCAAGACAAGGAAATTCATCATTTAAAAAGGTGTTGTGTTTTTTAATATCATAAACAGATGCAAAAAAGTTGGTACATTTTTGGTTTTATTTCGGAGTATAAATAAACACGTCAAATAAAAATAAGACAGTCATACAAGTGTCTGCACTGTCCAGTGGTTATTCTAATATTAGCATTCAACATTAAGGCACATCTATTAGACTTAACAGTGCAACATAATAAAATATCAAATGTACAACATTTACAGAACATATACATTTATTATTTACTTCAACAAGTCCTGATGGAATGCTTTGTATTTTGTAATATTCACACGAAGTGAAATATTGCTACGTGAACAGGTAGTTAGAACGTTCTGAGGGTACTACCAAGTGAACCTGTTGTATTTTTATTAGACATGTAAAAAATATTTAAGCTTTAGAAAAATGTAAAATACAGTCTAGGGACTCCTCTTTTGAATGCTACATACCAAACAGGCAACTAACTTGTCTGTCACTGTCATACAGTACGGTTTATGTCCATTTTCCTCTCACACCTGTGCTCCTCATTCCTCCCAGCAAACATCTGACCAAGCAGTTCCTGGGGTTTGTTGCTTCATACTGTACACACAAGGAGCAACTCCGACTCTGCTTGTTGGCATTTATAATCCCTCTGATAGCGATCTGTTGTTTGCACACGTCCAGACGAGTGCTGGGCTTTTGTTATGTTTTATGACCATCTCTGCTGAGTTACCATGGCACCAGGGCCTCTGGCCCCAAAGTTTAATCCTGTCCACTGTGTTGAAATTCCAGACGCTGGCTGAATCATTCCAGTCTCACCATCGTACTCCCAAATGTTGTCATAGTCTACTTCCTGGTCATCTAGTTCCGTGGGTTTAAGGTACGAATCTATAAGAGTGAAAGAACATTCCCAAGCTTTTAGTTCAAAGCAATAAAAGACAAGCCCTGCCCATACTGTATAAACAGTCTCAGAGTAATTATGCATAACCTTGCTATAAAACCTGAAGTGTGACATGCCAGAGTTGCACCTCATTCTTTTGTTGTATTCTTTCTATTAATCCATAAAAAGCTACCCTGAAAAAACAAGTGACATGGCGGGCACACATGGAACATATGATGTTGATTATATTTAAGGCTGTGTGTCCAGTTGTGTGCTGTCCGTCACAGTGGGGGGGGCATATCCGGTGTGAACAGTTTTCTCTTACACTGATCGTCCTCCTCCAGGGACAATGGCACACATGGCAGGAGGAACTGCACTAAGCTCCATTTCATTTGCACATTTGCACACTTCATGCACCTTCTGTCCTGTCGTCATTTAACTGCCGATATGCTGGCTGACAGCACAGACTTCAAATACTCCAGTCGAAGCGCATTTGGCATATTAAATCATGATGTTCTATGTCCCTGATGGATGGCGGACCATGGTGCTGACTTTCATATTTCATATTTGTGAGGAAATATGATGCAGCGGCATCAAAGGTTTGAAAGCATGCCCATTGTTTGTCATCAGAACTGTAAATGCATTGACTAATGTGTCAAAATAGCACTAAAATATTATAACCATTAATTACTCATGTTTGAGTGTTGAGGTCACACAGAGGTACAATATAGATAAAACAATGTTGAATCAGGTTTATGATTGCATGCCTTCCATGCTTACCTGGTGAGTAATCGTAAGGCATCTGACTTGTGTTTCTCACATAGCTGGATGGGAGAGGTATCTATCAGCAGATGTGAAAACAGAGACAGTTACTTCCTGTGATTAACTACAACAAACATTCTCATGTGTAGTTGGATATGTTATTCATCTGTAGCATCTGTTTAAATATCACCTGCAGCTCAACTATATATACTTGCTATACTTCCTCACAGCGTGTGAGCATTTCACTTTGTACTGCAGCATTCCAGAAAGCGGAGTGTCCTTGGTGAAGAGCCTCTCACCTGCTCTTGCAGTTGGCTGGGCAGAGGCAGCAGCTTTAGCCTTGACACGGCCTCTGCTCTCTGCTCCGATTGGCTTTGGGGAGTTTCCAACTCCTGGTTAAAAGAGTGGGCCTGGACCAGGCTTCTCCTGCACCGTCTGCCCAGGGGAGGGGTGCAGAGCTGGAAGGAGGAGGGGAGGAGCTGCGCCTCCTGGTGGTGGTGTCTGTGCTGAATTGGTTCGTGCCAACTCTGCTGCTAAAGAAAGGGGAAAAATTAGACTTTTGGTCAAACTACTGAAACCTGCAACCAGAGCATTAAAAAAAAAAAAAAGATGCTCGCTTAATCTAAAAGGCCATCTTGATTTTGTGAGTTGTTACCACTACAAAATGAGCTGCTAAGACATTTAGATTTGGTCATCTGCCATGACCCTTTACTCCAGGTAACTTTCATGAGTGATTTATCAGCAGCTTGAACAAAGACAGGTGCATATCTGTTAATGGTGATAGGCACTGCTTGATACCAGGTGCTGCTGAAAACTGAAACCATGGATCCAGTATCATTGACCCACTTACCACTGGCCTGGCCTCCTCCAGGGAGTAGATTTCTGGGCTACAGGGCTCGTCATACAGAGGCGATAAAGGCTGCCGTGGCGCACACATGTCTGAATGGCGCTGCGGGGTGTTCAGGGGGTAGTTCAGGGACGTCTGCGGTGTGCTCCAGCTGTTAGACTGATCAGAGCAGATTTAAACAATATCAGATGTTATTCAGGCGAGACATTTGTTTAGGTTTTAAGTCACTGAGAAAAGAGATGCATGGAATTCACACTTGGAGACAATCAGTCTTTAAATTGTGTTTGAATTACATCCTCTTATGAGGTAAAGCAGCATAGATATTCATTAATAATAATAATGACTTATCTTCAAAAGTTTACTTTGTTTACTAGTCATAGCAGACATATCATCCAGTGCACCATCAAGTTGATGAATCTTTCAACCGCACTATTCATTAATGCCAACGATATTCCATCTGTTAACTCCATAGAGCGTATAAGATGTCCACGCTCAGCCTACTGCTGGGTGTGCCTATTTTAGTTACAGTGCATATGGCGTGTAAAGTAAGTCAAGAGTCTCAAAGGGAATATCCAGCTATCGAGTCAGACGCCAGACCGAATTACCTTGACAAGTGGCGCTTTCTCCAGCCGCTGTGGACTGGCACGATGCATGGCAGAGTAGGGCGTGCTGTAGACCTGAGACCCCGCTGATCTGTCTGCAGGCTGGAGGTAGGAGCTGTGCTGGGGGGACGAGTAGCGCAGCGACAAAGGTCGCAGGTCGCGTTCCGGCCTGGTGTGGGAGGACATGCTGTTGGTTCTGCTGCCAAGCCTGGCGGTCTCGGTGGAGGAGGGACGGCTGGAACTGGAACTGTACTGTACGGGCAACAATCATAGCGAGAGGAAGAAGTCAGCCAAGGGGCATCACTAGACAACACGCAACGTATCTGGCTCGCTGTGCTAGCGCTCAGTACATACTGTCTTCAGTTTTCAGTACAAAGTCATGTCAGGGTGAGAGAAAAACATCTCTGACTAATTAATTGGGTGAGTGCTGGTGGTTAAGGTTAGAAGTTGAAGACCAACGTTTCCTTGACAATGAGCCCTCAATTAAAACTAATTGAATGGGAGAGTCGCTGATACAACCCCCCGTCTGGGGGAGTTTGTACAAACATCTTGATAAAGCGGAGTGTTTATCAACTTTCTAAGAGCTCTGGAATTAAGAAACTTTTGGTGCGCTGAATCAGCATTTTGAGACCAATATTTTTCATATTTTCAAAAGTTATTCATTTTCTTTCAAAAGCCCTAAGAATTAACACCTTAAGAGTCCTAACATTAGTACGTTGATCTCAACACCATACTCAATTATTAATTTAGTGAAAGACAAGTGCTGCTAATCTCCATCAAACAAAAGCAAGTCTTCTTGCAGAGGAAGGCTAACCTGTATCACATTTTGAGAGGAGAATACCCAGATCAAGAACACCTGCACATGAGCACTAGTAACACTGACTTACAAAAAGCGGCTCAGAGTATCCCGGGGACAGAGGGTTGTCTTCAGGAATGGGTAACTGAGGGTTCTGGGACCCATGTCCACCTAATGACTGGCTGAATTTTAGTGACTCCGCTCTTCCTTGGCTGTTTCCACTCCACTTCTCAAACCGTGGAGCCTAAAGATTGAAGGACATACAATTAAATCAATGTCAAAATGCAAGAGTATTTCAACGCTGATAGTTGCTGTTGGCCACGTTTCATATCGTGGCCAGAGAAAGGAAGGCGAGCAGCTCTCACCTCTCTGTTTGTTGGGGTGTAGATGATGTCGTACACTGGGGGCGGAGGGCTTAGAACTGGCACGTCAGCAGCTTTAAAATGCTGGATCCAGTCACAGAAGTCTGTCCTATCCAGACAGGACACCACTATGGGGTTGATCAGCTTGCCTGAGAAGAGAGAGGAGAGGAAGACAAAGCCTGTCATTTGGTCCGTTTGCTTACTGGAATGTGCTATAGTAAGACTGCTATTCATCAGGGATAAAAACCAGCTCATTCATGGAGGGGTCGCTCTCTGTGACGTTAGCAGATTCATGGAAAACGTCACTTAACATGAACTACGCATAGGAATTTGCACTCATTAAAGTCCCTTTAACTTGTCCATTTAAATGACAGTCGGTGACGTTTGAAGAACAGAATTCAGTCTTGTCCAACTGAAACTGGACTTTTAAAATGCTTCAGGCATGTTTGGCGACTAAACAGTTTTACTGAATCAAATCTTTTTCAAAGCCTGACAAAAAGAGACAGAGACAAGGAAGAATCTTGTAGACAGAGAATAACTACATCTAATTTTTTAACAAAATTGTAATGGGTACAGCAAACCAACAGAGTTGTAAATATGTCCAAGTCAACACACAACACAGAGCTTATTTGCCACTGGTTAAATAGTTTTTTTTTTCCAATTCATTTGGTTTGTGATTCATTAGGTCAACTGGGGAAAAAAACCTATGACTAACAAGCAGAGACGACCCATATAATCAGCTATTGTGAAGGACTTTAACATTCTTTGGTCATAAATGGATTCCACTTTCCATGCTTGTATTCTGGGACTAGAACAATAGTTCAGATAAACTGCTTCTCCTAGCTGTAATCAGAGCTTGAATTTGCATACAAACACACTCAGTATGTTAAGTAGCGGTTCACTGATTCAGTGTCCTTACCTTCAATCATAAAAGTGTTGGGCTTTACATCCTGACAGGGCGTGGTGACCGTGATCATGTTGAGTGGAAGTTTTCCCTGTAATCACAATGGCTGTTTAATACAACTTTACTCATGCAAATACATCCAATAAACTGATTGTGTATGTTTCAAGTTCAAAAGCGGTACCTTATAAAAGAGCCCATCACTCTCCTCTGACAGGATGATCAGGGTTGATGGATACATCACCAGCAGTCTGTCACTCTGTTCCTGAGGACATAAGATTAGAGGGAGCCTGATGAATGGGATGCAGTCACCGTGTGTCCCTTGAATAAGATGTTCAATTTATTTCCTTGTCAATAGTGCAGAACACATTTTGTGTCTATAGCTGATGCATTAGAGATCTAACTGTATAGTTCTAAGAGACCTGGTTAAGGGGAAAAATTTCATGCATTATTTTGTTCTCTGCACTCCAGATAAAGTTTTTTAAACTGCTTTGCATTCTTGATGATGCATTAGGCTGAAAATATGAACACCAAACTACTTCTGAAATCATGGCTTCAGCGAAGATGAAATAACTTCAGCAAAGATAAAGCTGCAAACAAGGCAAAAGACACAGTCAGCCCCATGTGCAAAGCTACTGATTCTATTCTTGAATACTATGTTTTGAAGAACATGTTAAGCTCTACAGTTAAACCAGTTTGTGGGACCTTTAAAGGTGCGGCAGAGTTTATGTTTCCTCGCTCTTAGAGGGTGTGTCTGAACAGACAGCTGACATTCCAGCTGTGAGGTGAGTCGAGTCAGTGCGTGAGCCCAGCAAATGCTTCTCACACACCCAGGCCCTAAATCACATCAATGGAGCTGCCGCTGCTTCCCACAAGAAATTAACAGATATCCATGCAAGCTGTGTCATGACTACTTATTTTATGGAACCCTGTATGAGAATAATTTGTTTGTGGTCTTGTCTCCCTTTAGTTTGTGTATATTACGATGCAACTCTCTGACAGGAACGAAAATCCTGTGTCAACATACTACAGGAGAAGGGTAACTTGCCATAGTATGGACTCCACCCTTTTCTCTGACTCCTTACATTGTGTTGAGGTCATGCGTGTGTTACAGAATTTTAAAGCTGTGTGAGTCACCTGGATTTAGACCTGATGTTATCCTGTTTTTATTCATCATGTGAAAAATTCCCACAGTTGGAAAACATGTTTGTATTACAAGTCACAGTCCGTTGCACTGTACTGTTCAACTCCGGGAAGTGACCAATAATGGTGATCCACCTTTGATGAGTAGCAGTGACACCGTACCTGGCATGGCAGGTGCTGCAGCCGGACTTTGGTGACATAGTTGATGGGCCCCAAACTGTCCCGCTGAGATCCCTCCCACTCGTAGATCGGCTCCCTGTTGACAGAGTTCCTCAGCTCCTCTCTTCCCTCTGACGTTTTGTACTGGTTCTGCAACAGAAAACAAACATTCAGGAACGGAAGTCAAGCTGACTCATCACCCAAAAAAAAGTATGAACAATGTTCAGATAATAATTAATCTTAGAGACACTGGTGTGTTTTTTTGTCCCTTGGAATTTCACGTGTTTCATCATCCACAGGGCTTAGAATTCAGGTGTTTACAGTTACATTGTTTTCTTCTCTCTTGACACAACTAAGTTTTTGTGTTTCATCAGCCACTTCCCCACCTGTGGGTGTAGAGTCAGCACTTCACTCCCAATACAGATGTTATGGTAATTTCATGCAGGCTGTGATGCGGTCAAGGCCGCTCCCTAGTATCCAGGCCCCAGGGAGAGCCAGCAGTGACCCAAATGACTCACCCGGCTTAAACACGCACATCCTGTTTTATTAGGAGTGGTTGGAAGCAAAACTAATCTGTCAGGTGGATTAAAAACATAATTAAACACTTGTGTGAATTTGGTTTCTGACTCGTCTCAGTAAGAAAAGCGAAGGTTAAATTAATCGTGGCTTAGTTCCAGAATGTGTCCCTGTAACTTAGAACGGTCTGCTGGCCCACACACCGGCAAGTTTTTCTTTAAAATGAATGCACACATTCATTTCATAGCAAGTTAGCTTTTCGATTTTGAGATGTCACAGAAAATAACTTTTGTCGAACTTACTCTCAGTCGTGTGAAGTTTTCAGGGACGATTGCCGTGCCTCCATTCGCCTCGATGTTTTCTTTGAGCAGACCAAACCACAGGTCCATTTCTTCTTGGTTGGCACAGTATACGATGATGGGGTTAAGACTGACACCTTCAGAGAGTAAATATCAAAATGTCAAAATGAGAAAGTCCCATCTATCTTTTTCATTTATGGTCTTTTATCTTTTTAGTTGACACTTTTCCATCCTGTTACCAAACTTGGAATGGGGTTTATATTAGACTTCCTTGTTTAAACAAGTTATGCAAGAAGTACAATAAATGCTAACATATGTTCCGGGCAGTAAACCACATCTAAGACCAGCTAAGGAAAAAGTCCCTTTGACCTGCTGTGCTTGGTATTTCAACATTGGAGTAAATTTTCCCTCCCACAGACTGCTCACCCAGGAGGAATGAACAGGACTGTGGATGATCAGTGCTGCTATCTCCCTCTACCTATCAGTCCCACACATACCACAGATAACCAACAGATACCCATTCAGATTTTCATTCCAGCCTACAGCTTTTTACCCTAATCCTTAGGAACAAAAAGATGATTTTTGCTTCTCCTGGATCAACAGCAGCTCAAGTCTCGTCTGTTCGTTTTCTTTTTAAGATCAAAACCAAACACCTTGACCACAGAAGTCCCTCAAAAAGTGTCTATCTTTCATTATTTCAATTTTTTTATTCAAATTTCCTTGCATAGTTATGATAGGTGAAAGCAGTAATTAGCTATTGTTAAAAGTAATTACCCATCATTAGCTGAGTTTCACAATCACATAAAGTTCAAACCATGTGTGTGTGCTTCCGGGAATTCTCAAACATCCTCTCTGGCTGTATTTGTTCCGTCACCCTCTAACTCACACTGGCCTCACTCAGGAAATCTCTACATCACATTTCACACTTGACTCAGAATTTCGGAAGGCTTCTTCCTGCACGTTTCCTGTCAGTGATGCCTCACATACGGTGAACAAAATTTCTTACTTGACAGTCAAAATCAGCTGAAAGATTACACCATACGATAACAAACTGGATAAAAAAAACACACATGGGTGTTGATATACTGACAGCAGTGATTTCAGTTAGATTGAAATAAACATGTATACCATCAAGACCAAAAAGGATTTTCCCACAATTGTTTTTTTTCTATCAGCAATATTTAACTAATCTATAGCAATGAATCACAGCTAGCTTCATATTAATACGGCTTGTTTCTTGTTAACAGATAGAAATTATCAGCTAAGTGTCAATTTTAGAAGCCATTAACCTGAGCACCTTTTGGAATGTGTCATAGATTATATGCAGTGACAAGGCTAAGAGCGGTAGCTGGGCTTTTCAGCACGACAGCTGGGTTGACTGAACTGCACCTGTTGTCTAACAAGGAGAGCCTTTAGGGGCAGTTTGCCCCCCTGACCAAAGCTGTGGGGAGTTAGTCTTGGGTTTGAATAAAGGTGAAGAGGTGAGGAGGGTCATGGCACCTTTGAATCACTGGAATGTGATAACATCGGAAATGCTTCAACCTGAAAATAGTGTGCGGTTTCTTACTGGTTTTTCAACGGAGGAGAATTTGATCCATAACTGATGAGTGGAACGGATATAGCAGACCACCAGCAGAGGTATAAAAGAGGTTAAGAAAGAAAGAGCACTCTCTTTCACTAAACCGAGTTTTTTTTTTTTAAAGAGCAGAACACCCAGTTCAAGTTCATCCATCTTGTTTGATGTTTTAAGCCACAAACTCACAAACTTGTTTGATTCTTTTTCTTCTGATTGACTGATTTTCTAAACTCAACACAGCCAATAAAGTAAAAACGGATAATTATAGAATACCAGGGCTTGATGCCAAAAACCACTGTATATTTCTTGGTGAAGAAAAACTCACCGTTTATTTGGAAAGCAAATTCCTGGGGTTGACTGTGATTGCAGTTCTGTTGCAGGTTGCGGATGGTAAGTTCCTTCAGTGGAAGAGTCCCCTGAGCAAAAAACAAGACAAAGTTTTAACCCTTTAACAAAAAGACATTTAATTTAACAGAAACTAAAAAGGAGCAATCCCCTCCTTGCCCTTCCGTGTTAGGCTGCTCAGCTCCTAATTTCTAACAAACAAATGAATCACCATGAATCTGGGGTCAGACGTGCAAGCAAGTGATGAACTCATGTGAGGAATCGATTTGAGGTCATTTGCACTCTGACTAATAGTGCGCAGGGGAGTGCGGCTGTCTCTTTTTGAATGGAGTTATATCAGCAGGTACAGTGAATTGATGATTAATGGCTGCTCAGACTTTACGAGACCAATGAAAAACCGTGATCATACTTTCTGTTTGCCTGTTTACATGCTGGTTGACAGGGGGGCTACGTCAAAGCAATGATGTCATATGAAAGTGAGGGCCTTACCTGGTAAGTGAGTCCTGACGTGTTGTTGGAAACGAAATGAAGATGTGTTTGAAAGAGATCCAGGAAGCAGTCGTGTATTTCCTGCAGAGAAAATTAGAAAAGGAGGAACCTAATTTAGATGTTTCTTTTTAATCAGTCTGCATCAGATAAAAAACGACCTGTGTTTTTCATTTTTTTATGGAAACTTATCCCAGTTCTAATCACAAAAACAAGAAACATGCATTCATTTACAGTAGACTTTACTGTCTTTTGTGATGATAATCCCACTGTCAAACAATCACTGTCGAAAGCTCTGACAGGATTTATGTCTCTATGGTGTATCTTTACATCTTATTCACAGATCATCCGCTGACTCATTCAAATGTTCTGGCTTAATAATTTGGACATTTTTGCGGTGGTATTTTCGGTTCTAATACAGCATGTTCTTTTGCCTTTATGATGTCATTTCCCCCCCATCAATCTTTTCTCTCCGCTTTCTGACAGTGCTGTTGTGTCACGACTCCGAAAAAAAGTACAGTTCCCACCGCGAGGAGCCGGCATGTCCTCTATCAGCCCATGGGATCAGAAGAACTCTCTCTACCCTGAGGTTCACTGCTGGGGATGTTTCACAACTGCAGCAGAAGTAAGCAAGTCCAAACACAGACTGCAGTCCCCTTTGTGGGAACACGATTGGATTATTCACAGCCAGCCACCAAAGCAAAGCCAACCATGTGTTGCAGTGTGTTCCAAAGGCAGCAGAGCAACATCCTGTTACTCTACCAACTTGTGTGTGTGCGTGTGTGTGTGTGTGTGTGTGTGTGTGTGTGTGTGTGTGTGTGTGTGTGTGCACTCATTGGATTCCCACAGATGACTGGCAGGATGTGTCACTATAGGATGGGTTTTGTTCAAAACCACAGGAGAGATTTTGACTGTATTGTGTTTGTGTTGTTTTACTGTTGCCTGCATGATATTTCATCATACATGACACCATTCCACTCACCTGGCAGTGAGAGAAGCGGAAACGGACTTTGGAGCTGTGAACCATGCGTCCGTAGTTCTTCACGTTGATGCTGCTCTTCTTCCAACCACTGGCCGGGTCGTACGGGAAAGGAGGATCCCATTTTATGTTCTCTATAGCCTGCAGATCCTTGTGCGACATTTCCTACAAGCAGTCAGAGTGTTGGTACAATGTTTGAACAGGTGTCAAAAGAGGCCTCTCGCCTCACCTGAGAGACTGCTGTGAAAATACAAGTGGTAACAGTCATATCAGTGTGTTAGAGGAGCTGGTGGTAGTTTCTTACCTTCCTTGGAGTGACTATGTTCAGGATGTTGATGATGCTGTTGGACTTCTCCTGACCCTCTTGGGGATTCTTCTTGCGAAGCAGGCGACTGCTGCTCACAAGGGGAAAAAAGTCATATTTTTACTTCTCACTTTCCGGTGTTTACCACCTAATTGTCATTAGCAGTGAATAAACTTTTAATCTACACTGAAAGTTGACTGGTCTTTGTTGCTGTCCGGTGGACAGAAGACGTGCAAATAAACTATGATTCCTTTGCAACAAATGAATCCAAACCCATTTCCCTTGTCTTCCTCCCATCAGTGACCACTATTTAAATTAGAAGAACAATCAGGTCCTGTATTACTGATACTGAGGACATACATAGGAAAAGCAGCATTCAATGTCCCTCTTTGTTTTGCAGGTCCCTCATCTGTTACTATTAGTGTCAAATCTTTATGAGGAAGTGCCCTTGCTGCTAAGATAAGGCAACGGGCTGCTTTTACAATCCTGGCTTGTTGTTTATCCGCTTATCTGTACATATGTGTGCCAGCGTCCTCAGTGTCCAACAACGTGGGCTTTTGTTTGTGTGGTGGGAATCAAGGACTGCATTCAGAAAGTCCATGTCCAGCATTAATCATTCAGGGGTGTCAAGTGAAGGATACTGCTCAGTTTAAATCTCTATCCGCTATGTGCACTTGTGCATTGAGAAAAAAAGTGCACCTAAAGACTTTGGCACTGAAAAGTGATAGAGGCATCATTTTTAGACAACACAGAGGTGGTGGATTTGCACACCCAACAGTCATTGTGGTGGAGTCCAGCAACACTCGCTCCCATTCTCTTTGGGGAATACCTGAGCCTCGCCTGATTCAAGAACACAAAGAGTCAGAGGAGAAGAAGAAACACGAATCTGAAGGCTTTGTCTGTGCTCAATCATGGATCCAATTTGGGAGCCGTTGGGTTTCTATAAAGCCAGTCCTTTCTCTTTTTTTTTTTTTTTTTTTTTAACAAGAAAGCTTCAGAGTCAACTGACTAAACCAGGTCCTGAGAGATCTTACAGAGCAGGACGCAGCACTGGAACTGCATGGGGCTAATTACCATCAGATGTGATGGTCCTGCAATGCTGCTCTGTTACATGCCCAGACATATAATCCCAGAGGGTCAAAGAAAACGGACAAATACAATAGAAATACAATAAGCCAGATCCTATCTAACAATATCCAATTTCCAGCATGTGGTCAAGATATTAATGGTGGGCGAAATTCTTCTTTTTATCACTTGGAAAAACAAATTCATGGTCAGCTGCCAGATCAAGTTCACAGAGATGCAAAGGGGGCGCAAATGGTAACTAGATCATTGACACTGTGGCTCAGTCACAACTTTGGGAATCTCAAGTACTATATGATCCTAAACCAACCCTGACAAAAAGCTCAAGTGCTTTGAAACCTTTAACTCAAATCCTGATAAATACCAAGAATTCCTTCCAGTTGAAATACTGAGTCTAAAATAACAGAGAGTAGTCAGGGACATAACATGCACTCAGTGACACAAGTAAAGTCTGAGTACCTGGACAGGTTGACATTCCCTTACCTGTTTCTGCGAATGAAACTCTTGCTTGAGAATCTGAAGTTGTGCTGGGGCACACATGAAATGCTGCTCCCCATGCTGCCGTGGTCTGTGGGGCTTTACGCTTCTCTGTCGGCCGACTGTACTCCGTCTGTGATGAATGAGTGCAACCCAAGAGATCCGTGCACTCCCTGCTGAAGTCAGCCCTGTACTGTGTGAGAAGTGGGCTGGGTGAGGGCTGTAAAGTCAGACTGTGAGAGTGCGTCTGCGTCTGAAGGGGGGTGGAGCTCAGGGCTGTGTCACAGGCTGTCTGCCTGGTGAATAAGCAGCAGGATTCACACCCCCTTTGGGCTACCTCTGTCTGCTAAATCAATCCTAGCAACAACGGCGGGGGGCCTTGGGTTGAAGTGTGCCATTTCACACCTTGCAGGAGCCAAATGGAACTCATTGTTGGGCCACAACTGCAATGAGTGGGTCACTGAATGCACTCCATGGTGTCAATCAGGGAGAAGAGAGAAACTTCAGCCGGCATGCCCAGACACGAAAATGCCTCCACACATAAATATTCTATTTATTACTTGCTTACATCACAAGTGTCTTGGGAGTTTCGTTCTACCGAAAACATCTATGTCAGTTTTATTTGATCAGTTAATGAAAATTCATGTAAAACACAGTTAAAAATAGAAATCGGTGTGATATTTTAACTGTGGGGGGGTGAGTGTATCTGGTTTCACACTGTTTTCAAACAGGAGATTTTATGAGTTTTCCTATCAGATATGGGAAGAGGGGGCGGTTTAAACAAGACCCTTTTGAAGCTAAAGGTTAAAGTTTTCATACGATTAGACACGTATGCAAACGCACCTTGTTTGCATGTGGGGAGGATGTTCCTGTATGAAATTCTCACCATCTAAAAGTATCTTCCTAACTATTTCGAGCACCAGATTTGGGTTAACTATCATTCCTAATGGACTTTTTGCCATCATAATACACAATTCTGTCCACAAAGTGCCCACAGTAGAATAAAATCCTCCTTGACGGACACAGAGAACGTGATGGTAATCAGCACACGACAGACACACTTTTCTCTCTTATGTAGTGTCTTGCTTATAGATATTGGTTTGCAATTCATATGGGGAAATAGGTACTTTTCCAAAGTTACTCATCTTCACAGGACATTGTTATGTTAGCTTAACTTATATTCCAAAGGAGTCACACTCATGATCATGTTTTGTTTGCTCAACAATGAGGTCACTATCTTGTGGTGAGGTCCCACAGTTCCATCATTGCATGAAATATATGCTGAGGTTTGTCAGTTAATTCCAACCTGCTCAACTGGTTGTTCAGAGCGATACACCTGGGGCACCAACAGTCACCGGCCTGGTAATTGTGTGCTGTGAGTTGTTCTCACTTCCAGCTTCTAAGATCTTGCTTTCATTTTGACATCACAGGAAAATCAATCGATGATGAATACTGATAGGGATTTGAGTAAATGTAAAACAGACAAACTATGTATATAGGACGCTAAAGCCGATTTATTTAATTAATATAGGAAAAATCTATATATGACAGGCTGTGTTAGTGTCAAGGTTTACAGATTTAACTGGAAGAAAATGTGGTAGTGATGATGATAATATTCATGATCATTAACAGTAGTCATTTACATGGGAGAAAAGCTCAATAGAGGACGTCTCCAGCATGTAAAGTCATGAAATTGGCTACCTACCATTTCTATGCCAAACAAACTTTAAGCATTAAGATATGCTGTTTTAGCTAAATCAACAATGAATATTGATATTTAAGTCTGAGAGTTGATGAGGATTGTATTATTGAATAACTAATATTTTCCATTTACAACCTGGAAATTTCGGAGAAAGAAAATAAATCTATTCCTATCATTACTGTGGAACTCAGCCGGATAATTTTTCACAAGAATTCACTTTCACATTTCCATCTAAACATATTTCCTTCTAGGTGTGTGTCATCCTGGAAAACCTGAGTGAGAAGTAAAGAGAAAAAAACATGACATCCTGCCAAGAGAAACTGCATAAAAAAAAGAATGGATTCCATCCAATCTCACGTGAATGCTTCTTGGTTTTGTTCCCAAGAGTAACACTATCAAAAGCTAAACTTCTCTATCTCTATTTTGCGAATGAACAAATTCAAATTTTGTTTACCTTTTGTGCCTACTGGAAAAAGAATATAAAAATATACAAGAGACTATATATATACTATAATAATAATGATATACTGATGACAAGTATAATTTTGTTCGAATTTGATTACAGCATTTGAAAACACGTTTGTGCATGTGTTAAACTTCTACTAACCCAACCAATGTACTACACCTTGACTCCTTTTGAAAAATTAACTTTATAAAGCTTATAACAGATTGTCAACATAATGACTGAATTTTCAACAAACAATTATTGGACAGTTTTTAGACTTTTAACTATTCAGCATGACATAATAAGAATGCTAACATTATATTATTTTATGTTTTCATAATAACTGGAATAATAATTTGGATTTAGTCACTTTAATAACATAACTGCTATGGTCACTCAATTAAAAAATGTTTGTTCATAAACATTCTGTTTATATAAACATCACTGGATGTCAGATATAGGTTTGTTCATGTTTTACTGATATCAATTATTTGTATCACTCTGGTTTGAATTATCTGCAGAGTTAATGGGACAACAGTCTCTTGGCAGAGAACATACTCTCATGAAGAAGAACCGGCCATTTCTTTTCTGCTACTCTATGTTAATATGATTACCAAATAAGTAAACCATCATGTGTATGTTAGAATAATTTATTTTATTACTTTGCATGTGTCAGATTTTCAGATGAACCAACAAGTAAATTATTTTAAATCAAACTTAGTGTGTTGATTTTAAGCCATCTATTTAATTTGATTTGATAATCTACTCAAAGGAAGGGGGGGAAACTACATTTTTTTTCAGTGTACTTAATTTCCTTTTCTCTCCCTGTGTGGTGGGTTAAACTTTGGCTATCCATGAGAAATCACCCACTTGTGTTTATCTAGACGCAGGAGGTGACAGCAGTGGTGCTGAAGTCGCACCTCAGGGCACTCAAACAGAGTCTGGGTATGAGGGCCCCAACATCAGGTGTCCAGCAGACAATCTGATGTGCCGGCGTTCTCACGCAGGATGACCATAAAGAAAGCTTAAATTGGAACCTCGACCTCCTTTGAAGGCAGGATCAGTCAGATTCCGTTTTGCAAATGTGACCGGTTTTGTCACATACTAAGCCCTCGATCAGTTATAACAAACAGATGAAACTCAACGGTTTGATGTTGTTCCTTGGATCTCTTACAGAGAAATTCATCATATGGGGATCACAGTTTTGGATGCTCCACCTTTACCTCCCATAGATTTTCAAACCTACGATCAGATGGGATTGCAACATGTAAAACTACAACTCGACCACCACACCGTCCGGCAAAAACATAATAGCTGCATTATGGAGCCCTGCAGGGATCAGTTAGGAAACAAAAAATAATTCAATATAAGAATTATATGAGCACCGTACTTTTCTTTGATTATATATTTATTTTTGCCATGATATTACCTTACATTCAAGTATTTTGATTATCCCCTTAATTTTCCTGTTTTTGGTTCCTTGACCAAAATATATACATTCATTATCTACTTTCCAATATTTCTTTAGGTATACATACATTTCTTTTAGCTAGTAAGTGTTTCAAAGAAGTGCCATATATCCTTCATCCCAAATGGTTTATTCACTGTCCCCCCAATGAAAGTAGTCTACTACTATTGTGATCATATAATAGTAACTATTTGTATGCTTATGACTATTTCTTTTCCCACCCACAGCACGTCTGCTATTGATCACACCACTTTTTTCCCTTGGGGGCTTTACAATTTAAGAACACACTGATATGATGTGAAAAGGGTTTTGATTGGGAAGATTGATTTTTCATTACCAGCACACAGAATCCTTCCTGAGCAGCAGGTCTGAAGATGAATGACTCTTTCACAGAATGGGAATCGGGGCAGTTGGTCCCTTGGCCTGATAAGGGCCGGGCAGATGCTGACACCAAAAGAAAGAGGAGAAGCTGGTAGGACGTCTTCCCCCCACATAGGCTGCATCAGCTCCTAAAGAGTGAGCACATTCGTCTAGACGGGTTGTAAAGTCTTTGATACGCTCGTAGCGAAGAAGATAACCAACAGCCGTTTCAATTAGATATGCGTACCCACTGATTGAATGACACATGTTCTGACAGAGATAGTAAAGTGAAATCCAACAAAACTTTAAAAGCATCTTCAAAAGGAATTTTCTTATTTTAAGTAACAGTTGGCAAATATTTGCAGTACGCATATTATCAGTCAATTGTTAGTTTGCAAAGGCCTCAGCATCATATCACTATGATGAAGCACTATCATGCTCTAACTATTGGATTACAGTCAGTAAGTTCTAAGTTACTATCCTTTCAAACCTCAACAATGTTTATGTGAAAAGAAAACAGACCAACTTGCTATTGTAATTTAATAGACTAATGACCCTAATGTGACAAAATGTATCTAGGTCTATGCTTGAGACTTGGTTTTGGCCCTTTTTTAAGTGAACTTTGTATGTGGTCAATGTATGCATGAAAGGATCAATCTGTAAAATGACTCATCCAATTATATTAACTTTCATCTCCATTTCCTGGATTGTCACAAAGCTTGAGTAAATGTCTAGATAATCATAAAATGACTGAAGCTCCCTTTATATCCTACAGACATCTGGGAGGGGTGTCAAGCAGTGCATTCAGTGATCCGTTATCATTGTATAAACATTTGGAGCGTTTCCATCTTATCTGACAAAGCCACAACATACAGGTCCGTGCACATACATCCCATATTGTTAATTTTTCACCCCTTCTTCGAAGGTGTAAATGATTTGCATTGTGGGTATTTGGCTTGTGTTTGTGTGCGTTTTGGGGGAACAGGGTTTCATCGGGCTGAGTGCTGGCCGGAGCGGCCACAGGTGTGAATGCCATGTGACTGAGGTCAAGAAGAGTAAAGTGAGAGTGTTCAGCTGTCTGCTTAAATCACTGTGAAAGAGGAGTGTGTTTGGAAGTTACCAAGGAACTGTGTACAGTGAGACAACCAACAACCTCACTTTGCAACAATCTCAGGGGGTTGAATTTTCAAATAGAATTTAGCCAAATTTCCCCATCTAGAATTGCATTCACAGTATTTGCATGTGATGGTATAAAACCTACTGCTTTCAGTCCCACAAGTTGTGATCAGGTTTGGCTCAACCGTCATGTCTGTTCAATGAAACTCAGACTGACTGCCATCACATCTGAAAACATCTTTATTTCTTCTTTTACATGTATGGTATTGCTTTATTTCGCAATAGTGCAAAATTCTGTATTTTGAAATATGCCATAAATAACAAACATATAATAAATAAACAAGTATCACCACATTAACCACAAACTAACAAAAAAAGCTACAATCACATTAAAATTGCACAAATGGAAGTAAGATAAATTGAGCAATCCGTTTATGTACATTTCAAATAACAAAACAGAGGCCAAATGTCTTATGTGGTTTTATGCACCTTTGTCTTAAATTCTGTCCCTGACTATTGGATTTTACACAATAGTAGCATATATTTAAGGCCACCCTGCTCCAAATCTCCTGCCATAAACTCCCACAAACCATCCTGCACATAAATAAAAGTTATTTCAGGGAAAACAAAGAAAACCGAATCAAAATAATCCTTTAAAATAAGGAGAAAAGGCAACTTCTTAGAAGTCTGGAATGGTATCACTGCACTACACATGAGCTGAACTGAACCCAGATACTGACTCATAACTGCCTCAGAAATAGTGATCCATTTATTTAGACAAAGCAAATGTGCTGGTGAAATGGCTCACCACAGCTGAACTGTGGCAAGTTCTGTTCTTTTGAATTTTCTACTTTAGGATCATATCAGTTTAACAATGCATGGCAGCCTTCCCTTAATTGTGGGCATTTGTCTTCACCAATTCTTGCTTTAATTAGAGTTGATGCTGTCTTTTCAAAATGCTTGTTTCTTTGCTTTAAAAAAAATTAAGGAAGATTTTAAGACTATATGGAGTCCTTTCACTGACTGGTCAGCTGGTCTATCTGTCTTCACACATGTAGCAGACATAAGGTACAGTGCCATGTGAGATCATGCTTGTGGCAGTGACACATCAAAAATGTAAATAGAAGGCTGCAATCAGTCCTCTTAAACCAGACATAAACTGAACAGCCACCTCTTTCACGCTAGGACATTCTCTTTGTCATTTCCACTGACGAAATGCACATCAAACATCCAAATAAATATATTTTTTAAAAACTCTTAAATAGGCATGTCACGGGTATGTTTCCTTTTGTAAGCATCTTGGAAACAGAATATATTATATTTTTATAAATATGTATAGTTCAGCTTAGTTCTCTGTTTTGATATAAAAAGGATCAAAAGTAATTTACAGTTCTGAGGGCCCCAGCTCGTCTGTGTTATTGGTGTCCATGCTTTCCTGCAGCGTGAAAAGGGTTCATAACGTTGCCCGTTAGTGCCACCTAGTGTGGCAAAGCAGCACTACAACATTTACCATCATCGGAGTCTGTGCCAATGTGTAAACATGCATGGAACAACCACTAGAAAGCTACATTCCAAATGTAAAATAATCTAGTTTTTTCTTTTTTGTACATTATTGCAAAAAACACCTGCCATTAAAGAAAAGCCTTTTGCTGAGGAGAACATCAAACCAAAAACATTCACGACACAAACTGCAGTTACATGTTTGACACATTAACTGAGAAACCACGTCGGTTTGGCCAAAAATAAATAAATACAGTCGCACATTTTTTTCCAGAAATCTTGACGAATGTGGGGATGGGTATATGTATTTTGGGGGGGTAAACAGTGGGCCCTCAGTTATTCAAACCAACTGCAGCGCAATCAGAAGTAGCAGCAAGATGGTAAACAGCAGCCCAAAAGGAAATGTCGATAAAAGATGGGAGAATGGTGGTTAGAGTGAATTTTCATAGCCATGTCAAACTGAGAAGGGAGGCTGTAGAACATCCATCTTGTGCCATTCTTGTACCTTTTTTTTTTATAATGAGGATTTTTTTTGTATTAATTATCTCGAGCAGATATTTACCCAATATCAAATCTCTTTTGATTTTTGAAGAATTTTCTTGCCTTTTACTTGACAAGAGGAGCTGTTTGTTGGACATTATGAAAATGCCTAATGCTTCATAAAACAGCCTTAAGATTAAGGTTGATGTTTATTTCTGATGCTTGAAGTTTTCAAATTACGGCTGGCTGACTTGCTACTAATTCTGAGGCGTACATTTTCACCCTGTCAGTCCTCTTTTCCCTCCATACATTTACCTGACCTGATGCTCCTCCTCCTGCCTGAACTCTCAAACCGAACAGTTGCGTCTTTTCCCAGAGCCAGCCGGGGTCGTAGCAGCAGAGGCTGTGGTCAGCCAAACGGTGACCCCGTGTCAAAGGCTGGTGGAAGAGACCGAGAGGGTGGGCGAGGAAGGTGGGGGGAAGTTCAGAAGCTCCAGGACCGCCACACCCACGCTGCTGCGCCGGGTGAACATGCAGGAGGCTGCCACCCATTTGTTGCTGCGTGGGTTGTACTTCTCGATGGAGTTGAGACTGGAGCTGCCATCATTACCTCCCACTGCATACAGCCAGCCATCCATTGCCACCAGGTCATGAGTGCTCCTTGAGGGAAAAAGAAAAAGAATCAAACACAGCAACAACCTTCAATTCTTCTGTGTTTTTTCAGTATAAGGCTGTTTTAAAGCCGATTACTCATTTTGATATATATATATATATACACACACACACATACACACACAACATTTTGTAGATGGAGCCTCTCAGCAGCTAGATAAGCATTCAGAGCTGCATATGTGTTATTCATGGAGCTGCACAGTCCACCCTTGTCAGGTTTTCTTCTTCCTACATTAATCTGACTCACTCGCAACACACACACACGTCTGTGTGTGTGTGTGTGAGTGTGTGTTTGTGTGTGTGTGTGTGTGTGTTAGGATTGGTTGAACCCTGGAGAACAAGTGTATGTGCTGATGTGATCACAAAGACTGCTGTGTCTCCAAATCTCTCTGATGCAAACCCTGTGACACTGCAATGCCACTAGGCATTTATGTTTTTCTTTTTGGATTTCATCCATCATGAAATTAGAAGACATTGACTTTTTTTTTAAGGGAAGAAAAACAGGCCATTTGGTGTTCAAGCTTCGAGAGGGCTGAATCCTTTGCCTTGTACAGGGAGGATTTGGCATGGAACAAAAAACAAAATCTAGGGCGTTCACTTTTTGAAAAGCACCATAACCTCCCTGGTTTTATTTAATCTTTACTTTCTCACATGTTGGGAAAAAATTCAGATTAAATCAGGACCTAATTGTTAAGATAATTTTTCTCAAATCACAGTGAGCCAAGCAAGGACCAACAGTTAATGATTCACTGAACATAATTCGATATTCAATGAATTTCCTTAATTAGGAAGATTGACTCGACAAGCCAACACTGCATTTAGATGTGTTGTTTTTTGTTTAGAAATGCAAAAAGAAAGAAGGAAGAGAAAAAATGTGCAGATTTCAGCATGTAAATTCACATCACACTACAACTAGTGCATTTTTTCCCTTTGGAACTATGAACAGCACACAGTGCAACATATATATTTTCCAGTTGTGCATGGTGTAATCACATTCATGTGTTTGAATAAGGCAGCTCTCTACTTTTGTAACAATAAATCTGGCTTAACACTCCATCCTTGCCTCCTCTGGAGTGTATAATGTACTACCTCTTCCCTGCTCATGTTCTGTTCGGAAAGTCACCTGACCTGAACATGTTTGTTAAGTTTGTGTGAAAAGGCGTTCTGGCTGCAGGCTGACCTGCGTATGTTCATGGGGGCGACTCCTTCCCAGGTGTTGGTTTTGGGGTTGAATCGCTCCACTGAGTTCAGGCAGCTGGTGCCGTCATTGCCTCCTGCGACGTACAGCATCCCATCCAGCACCGCCACCCCTGCACTGCTGCGCCTGCTCAGCATGTTGGCGATGGCCGTCCACGCGTTACTCTGGTCATCAAACCAAGACCATAAGCAATAGGATTTTACTAGGCCAAATTTCGTTACGAAGCAGAATTTTGATTACAACAGCCCATTGGGCTGAACGTGGTCATGAAAACAAAAAATCCTCCACAGCTGCTTACCTGAGGGTCATATTTCTCTACAGTTGCCAGATGTGAGGAACTGTCATATCCCCCTACAGCATATAAGCTTCCATCTGCAGTGGAGAGGGAGGAATTACTGAGAAATTAATCCAGTAATAACAGTCAAATACCAACGTGGCAACTCCCAGTTGATATCTGATATTACGATTTCAAATCTATGCAGTAAACATGCAGTAAATTTCCAATCTGAACTTTTTATCTCTCACAAATTCCTACCCAGAGTTGCAACCCGAACATATCGCCTTCGGGTGCTCATGGCAGCAATTGAGGTCCATGTACTAGTCAGAGGGTCATAGCGCTCCGCACTGGAATGGAGAAATAGACTTTTATTTACAAAAAAAAAAGGCTCTAAAAGACTCTGCAGACAAACATTTCATCAATAAACAAAACAAATACTTATTTATTTCAGATGTAGATTATCACAGTTCTTTTTATTCAACATAAAATGAGAGTCTGCGTGTACCTGTTGAGACAGGAAGCGCCATCATAACCTCCAGCAGCGTACAGCAAGCCATGCAGAACCGCTACACCCAGACAGCTCCGTCTCGTTCCCATGGAAACCTCTGGTTGCCAGGAGTTGGTGATGGGATCATATGATTCCACAGTTGCAAGGTCCGAGGTGCCATCGTACCTTTAAGGGAAATATGTACACATGTTGCCTTGAATAATCTCTGAGTAAAGACTGTAAGATTACTGTAAGAGGGAAGCGTATACCATCTTTAATAAGAGATGGGGTGGTGTTCCAGTGAGTGTTAACTCATTTACATGAGGTTAAATACAACAGCCAATGAAACTCACCCTCCAACAGCATAGAGTCTGTTCCCAATAGCTGCCACACCCACCCGCGCCCGCCGTGTGGACATGGAGGCCACCATGTGCCAGCGATCCGTCCTGGTGTCATAGGCCTCACAATCTCCATGGATGGCAAACAGGCTACCACCACCTGGGATACAACCCGACAAAGTCCTGGTTAATGTCACTTTTCATCACAGATATGAGACGACAAAAAAAAGAAGAATTCATAAGTGATCTCAAAGTACCCTGATGGGTACCTTCGGGGGCACACTGACCAACGGCAAAGAGCACGGGGCTGGCGCCCTCACAGCGTCGTGGGCGTGTCCGGCTGTTGCTAAGGACTCCCCTCTGCTCAGGCATCAGATGGTACTTTAGAGCTTCTATCAGCAAATCCTTACACTCCGAGTGGTGACGCACCAGTAGCTCCGTATCAACATTGCTCATGAGGAAGTCTCGCCTTAACAGCGGCAACCGCACACACTTCATCAGCTGTCGGGCGCAGACGGATGAGGTGAGGCCATGAGGAACAGAGGAAATCGGGTTGGAGGGTGTTTCAAATAGGCAAACATGAATCCGTGTGGGTGGACAAATCCTCTCAAGTGAAAAGAGGAGAGGCTTACCCAAGGTACATGTGGCCTGCGTCCATCTATATCATGTTTCACCCAGCTCAACACGGCTCGGTACACCTCCTCCTCAGATGGCACATTGAGATTGTCACTGGAGATCAAATCTAGGACCTGGCAGGCACATGGACATACACAATGTACATAGCCATCTGAAATTAAAAACTAAACTCCTTCAGTTGTGTGAAATCTATTCAGCCACACAGGAAGTGTGTTGTTAAAATGCATTAACCAGAGTCAGTGTTAGTTCCTGCTGCCTTTAATGCCAGCCGCACTGCTGCCTCTCTCTGCTCGTCCTAGCTTTACTTGGTTTGTCTGTTTTTTTAATAATGACACTCAAACTAAATCAGTCCAAAGATAAAAGTTAAGGCCAACAACGCAAACATTCATGTTTATTCTATGGTCTGTGAGTGAAGCTCTGCCGCTCCACACTTGAAAGTGTCATTACGTGTGAATGCGTGGTTCTAAGAATGCTGCAGCCTGAATGGCTGGCTGGCACTGTGCCCAGATCGGCTCTAAGCTGGTGCAGTTGACCAGAGGAGGGCCACACTTAGCATCAACCATTAATTCACAGCCCCACCCTGCAGTCACTCCCAGATGTGTATGCACATACTGCATCAAAGTGTGTATTATGTGCAGAGGAAAGAAAATAGATCAGGCTCTGTTTACCAGTATTGTAACTGTCCTCGTACTGTTGGATGGCAACAAAAATGAGGGAGGGTGGAATGACAGGGGTTACATCTACATCTTGATGCTTAAGATCTCTTCATATCTTAACGCAGGCTGTAATTAGGATGCTTCAAAATGTCACACACGTCATGGTGTATTAAGTTAAGCATCAGCCAAACTGACTAGTCGCAATCGTGTCACGCCTCCCGACTTCCCTGCCGGAGGATGGAAGAAAATATGAGACATATTTTCCAGCTCCGTGAGCTCAGTGCCCTTTAGAGCTGGCAGTGCATTTATGACAAGCACAAAACAGCTTCAGACAGAATGGGGCAAAGAGCCAAAGTAAAGGGAGAAAACTGGATTCAAAGAAATTTTTCAATTTTTAATCTGCTTTAATGCAGCTTAATTTTTGCTTTTTAAACAAACTCTGCCCACACACTGACTGCAAATTCGGTCTGAGGGCTTTGAAGGCCAGAAACAGATCCACGCTTAGTGTTTGAGTCCTTTGGAGCCCCGTCACTTTACTGCAGCTTTAGCGAGATGAGAAAATAATGGGAAACAGCCATTTGTCACTTTTTAATTCACTGCCAGCTCAAAAAGGATCACTGGGAATTTGCTTGAAAAGCTAGACACAAATGCAAAATGAAGTTACTACTAGGCCTATTGATAGAAGTCACTAAACAAAGAAAAAAAAAACTTTAGCTAGGAAATAAACATAAAGATGCATCAATGCTCATAAGTAAAACGGCAGCAGTGATGAACATTAATATTTTACATCAGCTATGTTGTGACAAGAGTTTTAATCTCCTGTGTAGATTTTCTATGTTACTTAACGACAGAGCCTTGTCTGGGCACGTTTTAAAGTATTTTTACAGTACATTAACTTTCTTCAGGCAACACTCAATAGTGCTTTATGGAGGGTTCAGGGTCCTTTACGGTTGAGCTCTCCAAGCTGGAACTGTGTATATTTGCAAAAAAATGTTGCTTTGCTCTGTCTGATAACACTCAGACCAGGAGTTTATATGACTGCTACAGTTTTATTTAAACTTGAGTACACCTGATGACTCGCCGTTGTCAGCAGCAACATGCTTGCACCCAGAAGGCTGGAATTAACCAATGCCTTCAAGACCAACCCCCCAAAACTCTAAAGGCATAAATGGATGGCAATTGGTTATAATCGTTTCTGATAACAATGACTTTGTTGAATGTTTGAATGGCCTGTTAAGAGTCAGGTGTGCAGAGTCAATCTAACAACGCCATGTGGAATGTTGAAATAATCAATTGGATTTATTTGTATCCATAGGTTGGTCATCCAACCAGTCTAAGAGCCCTAACTGATGTGCTCTAATTCAGTAAATATGAGTCTTTATAAGTCTCATCAGAGTTGTCCTAAATCTTACTCTCACAGCCCTAAGCTTCGGCTTTGCTGTTAAGTCCAACAAACTGTTGCTGAATAGTTGAATTAGGTCTGTCAACTAGTATATGCAGCTGGAACAAACAACCCTGGAAGGTTAAATGTAATGTAACGTAATGATTATGGAAAAATACAATCAAATCTCATAAAAAAAACTTTGGCTGAAGTTTTTAACATTCGAGAGCCAAAACAGAGATTTTTATAGATGCATAGAGGAGGTCAGAGCCATTTGGCTATCATAAGCGGCTGTGAAAATGTCCCCTAATTACCGGTTCCAGGACTGGAACCACAGTGTTGGCTCTGCTGAGTCCCCCGGATGAATAAGTGATGTTTGGCTGAGTCGACATGCAAGATCAAGTAGTCAGTGGCCGCACGGCAGAAAGATACAATTCAAGGGACACTGACAGTTATCTAAGACTTGAGCTAAACATTGAGTAGTTAAAAAGCCATCTGTTCTCCACAGCCACTGACCATAACAACATGCATTAGCTGTGGAGCAGACACAGTAGACGGATTAACTAACAACTTCTTATGCCCCACCATCAAAATGTCCCCATTGACTCTCCCTTCACAGAGGACACTGAGGGAAGCAGAGAAAACAGCCCCCTACCTGTTTCAGTGGCAGGAGCATGAACTCCTCTGTTTTAGACACTTCCACAAAGTGCTGCAGCACATACTTGTGTGCTGACTTGAGCAGGTCACTGCAGGAGTGTGTGTCAGCGAAGCCTCGGATGCCCAGGCAATTAGAGGGGTCCAGCTGGCTGAGGAGGAACTTGCAGCAGGCATCCCTAACCCCATTCAGCTGCAGCAGACTCGCTGCTGGGAGCAACGTCTGGAGAGAGCGCAATTACAACGTCTGCTTTGGGCTTTCGCGTGTTTTTGTGTGTGTACTTTTATGGAGAATGTGGGTCAAAAACAAGTCTGAAAACATCAACTCAACCTGCACGTTGCCTTCACCAACAACAATCTCTGCTGTGTAAGCGTACTGGACCAACTGCTCCAAAGCTTGGGGATCGATGTCATGAAGGGTCACATGGGTTTGCCGACTTTCTGACATCTCATCTGCAGGAGCACACACACACAACAAAAAGCAGATACATTTTCCAGGCAAATATACCAACTACAACTCTGGCTGATAAAAACCACCTCCACGTTCCATCATGCTGACACATGGCATCCTGTAACATACACAGTGCAGCTGCTAAGAGTTCAGCGCTGCTCATTTCTGCCCACCTATCTAATGAGTTGTTTTTACTGAGCGAGGTTTCTCAAATTCCTGAATCTAAACTATCTCCCCCATCTTGGTTTCAACAGAAGTATGCAGGAAGGCTCTACATCAACAGTTGCATGTTTCTGCTATTAGTTGGACACACAAACGCATACACTGGGCATTTCTATTAAATTTCTGTGGGCCATTTAGAGTGTGGTTCAGATGGGAGGAAGTCAAGCAGCTGAGTCTCTGACAAACAACTATCTGGAGACATGCAGTATGTTCATAAAAGGTTGTTGGTACGGGAGGAAATTGGAGACTCACGCAATTTCTCTGACTACCTGTACAGCCAGACAGGAACAGAAGGAAGGAAATTACACCAGCTACAACTCATGACATGGCCTTTACTGTGCACGAAGGTTTGAATCATCAAACCCCAACAATAGAGCCAAACAATAAACAGCTACATATTAGAGCTATTCATGTGCCAAATGCTGATCTTCAACCACACCACGTATGTGGTGACATAAAGAATGTCCAGAACAGGCTGTCTGTATGGTGTTAAGAAAACTTACTGGTAAACATAGCGTGGAAGTAGGGGCTGCAGGATGCCAGCACCACTTTGTGCGCCTTGATTTCTTTGTTGGAGACGTGGAGCACAATGTCACAAAGTAGGCCACGCTGTCGCATCCTGTTCATGGACACGAAGGAGTCGTGGTAGTGGCGCTTTGAGTTATGCGAGATGCTGTGGCCATCGCGGTTGAGCAGCTGCATGCCCCCCTCCATCATGATGCCTGATGTCGCAGGCTCCTGCCTGGGCCGCACTCTGGGCAACTGAAACGTGAGGAAAACTATTAATAACACAGATGACCAGAGCCATTTCTGTTACTTATTGTTACAGAATCCATCCCGTCAACTTTCAAAGATCCTGCCAGCATGGCAGAAAATATCAGTACGAGGAAAAAGAGCAGTAACATGGGTGGCCTGATTATTTGACAGTGTCAGGTCAGATTAGATTTTGTTTGACACTTTCAGAGACAAAATGCATTACTGCAAAAGCTGCATTTAAAGGATGCAGTTTATTAATTTATTAAACAAATGGCTGTTGACATTGACATTGCTTAAAACTTGGTGAGGAAATCTGACAAACAAAAGATTTAAAAAACAGCTACCGTTTGTGTTATTGTCAACAATTAAATTTGAATTAAAAAGAAATGTGACAGACAGAAAACCGGATGAAAAAGCCCTTATTGGCCCCCTTTCCTCCCCACACCTTACACTAATAACATGACATTCAAAATACTAAACACAATAACAAGATGAAGACACACAAATGTACTGAATGGAATAAAATAAGTTCACCACCACAAGTGGCCCATTTGTGACTGTAGATTAGCGTGGTGTCACAACAATCTTAAAAATAACTGATTTAATTTGTTTTGACAATTTCCCCTTACATATAGAAGATTAGACGAAAATCACTCAATCTAAAACCCCAAAACAAATATTAGGATCCAATAACCTTTATCGGTGGAGAATATTTACAAGTCTGAAGTCCAAAAAGGGAAACACATTCTTTAAACAAGAACATAGGATGCCTAGGTTGCTTAGATAAACTGTTCACTCAGAGTCAGTCAAAAAGTCTTTACAACATCTCACATTTTTGTCCCGTGTGTTTGTGTCTCTCCTTTTTCAGCACTCTTTCCACTGTCCCACCGACCATCATCTCAAATGTCATCACAGCTGCCTGGCGACCAGCTCTGGGTCCCATTTTCCAAAACATAATAGACCTAAAAAACAGAGCAGCTGTGTTCCTCTGTCAGGGAGCAGTCTCCCCTGACACCCATGGGAATAAAACACGAGACAATGCTGCAGAGTGAAACAGGCAAACCCACGAGTCTAACGCCACCACCTCAGTTTAAACTAACGGAGCGAGGCACTTGTCTCCCCTGTTTCTAGCTCAAAAGCTTGGCTGGCTTCCTCACACAGGCTCTGCGGCTGCTGCTTGACAGCATGTCTACAATCTTGTTGGAGGCACAAATGTTTTGGGCATAATTGTATTTCTAATCAAATATCGGATTAGAGCATTGTCAAAGGAAATCATAAGCATTATTCAAGCTTTCTTTGAACAGATGCTATAGGCTGCAAGGAAATTAAAGGATGACGGTCTGATCGTCTTTTACCGGTGGTTGTGTTGCGGTTATCCTCAGACACAGTGTCCTCCTCGAAGTGATGGGAGACAAACCAGCAGCTGTCGCAGTCAGATTAGCCTAAAACTGGTACCATCGTCTGAGTATCTGTCCATATTCTGAGCCCAGCATAGAGGATATGAGGAAAACCACTGTTTTGTGCTGTCTGCGTTGACGTCAATGCAAAAAAAGGGAAAAAATATGCATGAGAGCCGACATCGGTTTGTTAAGGTGGCGCTGCAACTGTTGTAGATGGAAATAGCTTCGTTGAAAATGCCGTTAACATATAAGGCTTTGACAGCAAAGGATTGCATTATACGCAGAAAGTTGTTTCACTCCACCGATTTCCAAACCCATCGCGCTGAATTTTCGCTTAGAAAATATTGTTGCATAAAACGGCCTTAAACGCCACCTTTTGTTTGGTCAGTGCGGAAGTGCGTTCGATTAAAATGTTCTTCTTTTTAAGAAAGGCGGCGCTTGACATACTAGCCCAGTGTTTGCTCACAACAAAAGTAACATGTTCCGTTTTTAGGCTACTACAGGTATTAAAATCAAACATATGACACCAGCTGGCGAACACAGTGTTCAATTATGTACAGAACCTTTTCCTCATTTTAAATGAGATGAATTCGTCTTATTGGTCCATGTATCACTCTCCTATTAGTATGAAATATTAAAATTGTCCCTATCACTGTTTAAGTAACAATGGGTTGTCTCCGTATGTGTTTGAATAAGCTAACATTGTGGGAAAAAAGCCTGGCCGGAACATTTAAAGCAAGTATCCTCACCCGTACCCGCCGTCGGTATTGATTTGACAGCTGTGATTTCTTCCGCTTTGTTAGCTTTCCCCTGTTTGTGGTGTATTACAAAGACGAATAAAACGTAAAAAACGCCTGACTGGTCCTCCCTGGATCCGCAGCCTCTTTTGCCTCGTTAACGGTGTCAATCATTTAATTTAAGCCTCACGTGCGGCATCAAAACACTGCCAGTGTCTAATATGAGCGTATCCGGCTGTACAATTTAAAGGTTGGTGTGAACGCCTAGCTAAAAAAAATGTATGGGTTTTCAATCATTTTGAAAGTTCAAATTTTCATTAAATAAAGCAAATGAGTCTGTGAGTGATGATTGTAAATACATTTGGATTCCGATTCCTATTTTGATTATGAAATCATAGGCCTCGTCACAACAAAACCCAAGAAACATAAAACCAATTGGCTTTCGTTTTGCAACAAGGGATTGTGGGTATTGAGTTTTCGGGTCACGTTTTGGTACCAGCATGGCAGCGAAACAGAAAAGGTTTGGAAGTTAATATTTTTAATTGTGTGTTATATATTATGGCATTTTGCCTTTCGTCCATTTTTTACTTAAAGGTGTACACTTTATCTGGCTCGTTGTTGAACTTGTGACATTCGAAAAAATGTTTCTAACCTTTATATGGAGGCACCCATGATGTTAGCATAGAGTGGTAATGCTAACAGCACGGTGGTTATGCTACGTTCATTTTCTCTATGTCTAAAAATATTCAAGTATTTTAAGAAATATTCAGTCGTAGTTTCTACTGGGCATGAAACTAACCGTTCAGGTGCACTGTCTCTACAAGTTTTATGGCATGGATAACACACGTGTGCCAACTCGCATTTACTCAATGGCTACCTTTTATATAGGAAATTGGAGGACCTCAGCATGGACGAGTTCCTGCTGTCAGGCTTCGAGTCTCCAGATGACGACTGTTCTGAACAAGAGACTCCTAAACAGAAGAAAAAGCAACAAGTGAACTCAAAGACGTAAGTCCTTTGCTATGAGGTGATTTAGATCTACTTTCTGTTAACATCAAACCTCTCGAGCAGACTTCTAATTCTTTACAAATCATGTCGTTATAGAGATCAACAGAAAAAAGGCAAAGCTTCTCAGCACAAGGAGCAGCTGACCCGGTTGAAGAACAAAGATCCTGAGTTCTACAAGTTTTTGCAAGACAATGACCAGTCACTGCTAAATTTTGATGACACAGACAGCTCTGAGGATGAGGATGAGAAAAAGTACCACCAACTGCCATCTGCACTGGAGGTAAGCCAGATGCTGGTGTAGTGTCTTTGTCCCGGAATAATAATGGAACTCAAACTTACGATGTTTCTATTTAGGACGCCAGCTCTGGTGAAGATGACGATGAGGGTCAGAAAGGCTCTAAGAAGGCCAAGAACGCTGTGGAAACAATCAAAGTCACAGATAAAATGATTGATGACTGGAAGGCTGCGATGAAGAAAGAACCAACACCTCGCCTTTTCAGAGAAGTCACCCAGGCCTTCAAGGCTGCTGTCGCCACGACGAAGGGAGACGGAGGTGTACAGTGTCGGTACAAAGTGGCTGACAGCTCAGGTAGGTCATGGGATACGTTTTTTTCAGTTTAATCTTTGGTATATGCATCATTTGGAATCAGTAAAATTTGTATATATTGATGGTCACAGTGATGCAGAAGTTCCAGTGAGTTTTAAGTTATGTGTGGTGTCATGCACCTCAACAAAATCAAGTCACAGTTTGTTCACACGAGCCATTGTATAGAACTGAAGACCAGACCAAGATATTCGCTGCATTAGGGTTGTGTCATCAAAAGAGGGAAAAAAAGTATAGACGTGTGTGTGTATGTATAGTCAGTCTTAAAAGTGATTTCCACACTATTCAACAACGTATTGCTTCTGTATGCGTAGAATTACCTGGAGAAACCCACCAACTTTGATGTAAGACTTTTGATGCTCATTTCTATCTGGGGAAAGTCATGGTAGCGAGTGTTTTCTGCCATTTTCTGATCGGAATTTGCCTCGATTCACCTGTTTTTTTCATTATTGAAATGTTGATATAGTACTAATTTTCTTAAATAATGTTACCATTAAAAAAAAGCAAATAAGAATTTTCTAACAGCTTCTAAGTATTGTCATCATTATAACTTGTTTACAAGTAGTGTTTAGTTTTCATTAAAGTTTTATTGATTTTTATTCTATTTTTTTTATTTCCGTGCAACTTGTTTCCCATTTGTTTCCTTTTACATCTACCATAATTCATTTCTGTTTAAGTTTACTTTTGTAATAAACTTTTCTCTCAATTTTCAGCATTTGTATATACTGTAAATCTGTTTCTCTATTGATTCTCATTCTGACCCCTTTCTATTACCCTTAACACATACATTTTCATGTTTTTTTCAAGTTGTACTCCTGTGTGTATTCTTTATGCAAATGACGGGGCTCCTTTTAATCATGTTTTTATTGTTTCTGCAGTCTTCAACGCTTTGGTCCTGTTTTGTATCAGAGACATTTATGTGACCCTGCAGAGGATGCTCAGCTTGAAGCCAGATAAAAACGAGAAAAAGTATGAAGGCAATGCGGCAGAAGCTGATATAATTCCTTCTTGTAATCTCTGAAGAAGCGGACAGTTCAGCTCTTAACTTTTCCTCTCCTTTGGTGCCAGGCTCATCCTCCCTTCATCTAGTCCAAAATGGCACAAGCATCAGACTGACGTCAAGATGTATCTGAGTGGAGTAGTTCAGGTGTGTGCGTTAGTGTGTTTTCTGTGCATGATCATCCCCTTTGATTTGACCTCTGTTTAAGGAGTTGAATGCCTACATGGATACTTTTCCACAGCTTCCTGACCTGAACCGTCCCTCTAATCTTTTTTTCCTCTTTTTGTAGCTGTTGTCCTGTCTAACAGAATCCACAGTCGTCAGTGCAGTTCTGAAGCACGCCAACCAGCTCGTACCCTATTATCTGTGTCTACCCAAACAGTGTCGCCACCTCATTAAAGTAAGCTCCAGACCCCACAGTGCCTGACTAAAGTTGATTTCTCAAGTTTGGAAATATTTGTTTAAGCATCTACTCTTTTATCCTCCTATTTATTTTTTGGATCTAGCAACTCATGAAGCAGTGGAGCACGGGGGAAGAGACAAGTCGAGTCCTCGCCTTCTTGGCTCTCAACAAAATATGCAGACACAAGCAGGAAATGCACCTTAACCCTATTCTCAAGGTGAGCAGCTTTGACGGTGATACAACTGGGTGCAAAATTAGTTTGGAGAGAGGGAATCTACACAGGAAAGGCAAAACACAATGAGCTAACATCATCCCACCTACGAAAGAAGAAAATAAGTGTTTCTCTGTGCAGAAATCTGTTCTTCTCTTAATGCTGTTTATTTTTCTCTTTGCAGCAAATGTACATCTCTTATGTGCAAAACTGCAAGTTTACATCTCCCAACGCACTTCCCATGATCAACTTCATGCAGAGAACTCTCACAGAAATGTATGCCCTGGACACCCAGACCTCCTATCAACATGCTTTCATCTACATCCGACAGCTGGCGATTCACCTCAGAAACGCCATGACCATGAAGAAGAAGGTTTGTTTACTCTGTATGTTATCTGTGAAATCAATATTAAAAGCCCTCCAGGAGAAGCATTGCATTTCAACCAACAGCACCTGGTTCTTTTAGTCCCACAGGCATTTTTGTGAACAATAACAACACAATTTAGATGTAGATCTTTTTATCATTCTTTTCTGTTTTTGTTTTTTTAATTTAATTTTATATGGTAGTATTATTGCATATAAAAGGAGTGTCTAAACTAACAATGGTTTGGAATTATAAACTGAAGTAAAAGGACTACGCTGCTAATCTCTTCTAATTGAACAAACACACACCCACCTGATGTTGTCTGACTTTTTCTTTTCATCACTTGTTAGGAAACGTATCAGTCGGTGTACAACTGGCAGTATATTCACTGTCTGTCCCTGTGGTGCCGGGTCCTCAGCACCTTGCACCCCAGTGATGTTCTCCAACCGCTCATCTATCCTCTCTGCCAAGTCATAATTGGCACCATCAAGTGAGTTTGCAGTTACACCATCGCACTGATAAAAAGGTCCAGGTTCCTGTTTATGCTGTCACACTTATAAATAGCATGCATGTTAGCAAAAAGACAAGGTGTGTAAGCTGTTAATTAAAGCTTCAGAATTGCAAAGTTAATTGGAATGCAAACGGGGAATATCAAGGAGTTTGTTTACCATGCAGAACTTTTAGTCTGTTTTTCAGTCAGTCATAAGTTCATATTTTCAAGCCTGGTTTGATTTAGCCTTTTAATTTGTGGCATTCAGACATTGTCCATGTTCCCAACAGCAGGTGGAGACAGAGACTGTTTTTGTCTTTCAGACTTGTGCCTACATCCAGATATTACCCTCTCAGGATGCACTGCTGCAGAGCCCTCACTCTGCTGTCGAGCAGCACCAACACGTTCGTGCCTGTTCTGCCCTTCCTCGTCGAGGTAAGCCTTCATGTCAACTCCTCTAACCACAATACAGGCCCCATATGATCAGCGAAGGCTGAAAGGGAGTCGGGCCAAGTTTCCAGAGGTCCAAACTGAAGTTGCTCACATCAAAGAGCAGCTTGAAGTCCTCCAATAGTTTGAAATAAGCTTGATGAACAGCAGTCAGTTGCTTGCATTTGTCACAAATGGAAACGATGAAAAAAGGTAGCTGTGATGAAATGTTCCGCCGGTGGTTTGCCGTGGAAAAACATCAGCGCTGTGTGACAGGCATTATGGTCTCAACGGCCACAACTGAAGGAGTTCAGGAGGAAACGTATCGAAGGGTAGAGCTGTGCGAGAGCCACCTTTCTTATCAGACCAATCACGGGTCACCAACTGACAACATTTTTCGGGGTCAGGTGTTCAGCACATGGTTCCGCGTGCTCGTGTGCCAATGTGTGCAAGTGTTTGCACATGCTGCGCCGCTCTGTTGTGGTTTTTTTCTTTTTTTTTTTGTGGAGGAGAGCAGTGTGCTGGAAACGGCAACACACTCGACCCACTGGGAGTGGTCAGTGTACACTCTGTGTGTGTAAGTGTGTGAGTGTGTGTTTGCAGCAGTTTGACCGAAGCAATAAAGGCACCGTAGTGGTTTACACTCTGGTCCTAACATGCTGTGCAGACCACATCCTTTCTGCCTATGGCCCCCTCCCCGCTCCACACACGCCCTCAGAGCCCCCTCCCCCCTAACCCCCAACAGCAAGCTGTGTTTATTCGTGACGCACAATACTTCCTGTGTTTTTTTTCTCCCTCACGGTTCCCCTTGTTAAAGGCAGGCTGAGGTACGCTGCTACTGTTTTAATTAGAGCAGCAGAAGCAGCCGTCTTTCCTCCTGTGTGTCTGTGCCTGTGTGTGTTCTCGTATCTCCGAGGGGGGTGTATGATTTGGAGTTTCCTGCTTCAGTAGCTGGGCCGTGCTTGTGTGCGTGTGTGCGTGAGCGCACCAGGGTTGGCCCATGCCTTCCCACTTCCCCCTGGCTCCCCCGCAGACCGCCACCACATCCTATGTTTGTACAGACAGCACCGGCCAGGAGCGTTGGTGTGCTGCGCACACAGCGAACATTAACGACCACACACACACACACACACACACACACACACACACACACACAGATACAGGGAGTCAGAAATAGCTCAATACACAAATACAAAACAGAATTTCACTTGCACAGTGTGGGCAGATGTGAAAGCTGAAGCTCGTAGACAAATGGCCCGCATGTTGGTTGGAATGTACTTTCACAGACGAAGATAGCTATGTGCCATCCCAGTAACACTGCAGTTTTTTTAATGAGCAGTCAAATGAACAAAAGTCATTCAACAAATGACACGGGATCAGTGGCTGTTAAATCTTTGGAGAAAAGGCATATATTAATAAAAGTTTAAAGCGATAAAAGTTAAAGTATTTCAATGGATCCATGTTGAGCAAATGGCCGCAGTTTTTTTTTGCCAGAAAAATTAAGAAAGCATTCACCTGCGTGAATATTCCCAATATCCAGTTCAGAGGAACTCCCATTAAGTAAAAAAGTATAATTTACTTTAGATGGTTCCCTGAAGAAAACTTCTCTTTTTTCTCTTAGAACACTACTTGGTAGACACTGACATTCATGAGTCATTCAGCAACACCACTTAACCACAAAAAAGCTGAATTTGTATAAGGTTTACAGCGTGCAAAATGCAACTTCCAACAAACATTTTTAGATAAAAAAAAAAAGAAAGTTGTTCTTTGTTCCATAGTTTACAGTTCACCGATTTGTGTGGAACCAAATAATTTTGATACAAAACCAAAAGAATGGTGGAAAGTTGTTAAAAAATAGCTGGTTTGTTTTGTGTGCTGGCAACATGTAGTTGTATGAAAATACAAATACATTGCTCTTTTTGTCAGGAATGTTGATATTTTCTGATTTTTCGGTCAGATTTTCCAGCAGGTGGACTTCAACAAGAAACCAGGCCGAATGAGTAACAAGCCCATCAATTTTGCTGTCATCCTGAAGCTGAACAAGATCAACCTGATGGAGAAAGCCTACAAGGTAAGCTTTACTGTGGCCAGCCAGGAAGCAGTGGAAGCTCTTTGTGCCTTCGCTGCTCTTAGGAGCAGCTGATCAGATGAGTGGCTCACTTAGCTTGTGTGTCTGCATAAGGGGATTGAGGGCAGCGCTGACAGCCCCTTGTCAGGGCTCTAAAACTGTCCCTGAGTCGCCACACTCAGTGGCCGCAGCCAAGAGGATTTCAGGACAAATCACAGGGATTATCCCACGCCACTCGCTACGGCCGTTCGCACTGCGGTCACCTGGGCCGCCGCTTCTTAACCCCCCTCCCCCCTCCTATTGAGCCAACTGTTCGTACTAATGCTGGAAACCACTGGGTCAATGCAGGAGGAGCTCACATTTATATTCTCATACAAAGGCAGCTGCCCTCCTGCCTCCTGCTACACTGAAGGCTTTAATTGTTGGTTTATTTTAGAGTGAATTCGTTTTTTCATTCTGGTGAGATGACGGTAGAACAGAGGTCCACACTTACTCATTTTAAAAATGTTATCTGTGTCGTGTCATTGATGGACTGTGGTTGTATAGTTTGTGTGGTATGAAAGCATGTGTGTGGATCTGAGTCAGGAATATTACTGTATCTGCCCGTTTGATTTAGTGATGAATGTCTAGAGCCCCGCGTGGGCCTCATCAGTAGACACGAGCCCTGCTGTCACAGTTGATTGAAGCATCCAATCAATCTGAGGTTTGGCAGAGATCGTGGATGAACATGTTTGGCAGAGATTCAAAGGTTTATAACCCACGAGATTAAACTGTGACGCTACTTTTGTAACACGTGAAATATCTACATATGTGCTTGGATTTTATCTCTAAATTTGATTTAAACAACAGGGCAGAGAGGTTGTCACTACCCTGAAATATGCACATGAATGTAAAATGAGAATTTGGTGGCTTTGTTTGACTCAGGACGGATTGATTGACCAGCTGTATGACCTGATCCTGGAATACTTCCATACTCAGGCCAGCTCCATCGGCTTCCCCGAGCTGGCCCTGCCCACCATTGTTCAGGTATTTCAACCTTTTAAATTCTTCTTTAGAATTATTTATGAGGATTATAGATGTCATCTTTTATCAGATTTAGTTATCTTGAACATCAATAGGAGAATTTGTGCACTGTATAGATAATGGAGGACCTGTAGCTCTGACTATGCTCCCCTCATCTGAAAGGACCACAGACCCTCCAACTTTGGCATTCCCTTTTCTTTCTTTCTTTTTTTTTCTTTTTTCCTTCACGGTCCTTTTGTGTCCCTGCAGCTGAAAGCTTTCCTGAAGGAATGCAAAGTGGCCAATTACTCCAAGCCAGTGCGCCAGCTGTTGGAGAAAGTACAGGAGAACAGCAACTACATCACAGGACGGAGACAGAAGGCCGCCTTCGGAGTGGCTGACGCTGCCGCTGTGGTGAGTGTGGGCGGTGGTGTGAAAGACAGGCTGCATCTCCAAGAATTTTACCTCCTTTATCTTGTCATTTTGGTCCTTCGGTTCCTAATTTTGAGTTTTTGTAAAGCTTAAAGTTTGAACTTGGGCATTAAATAAAGGGAGGTAATCTTTAATTACACAAGTGAGTCAGAGATGAAACATGTGGTCAGTTTCTGAATGTGGAAGTGACCTTTTAGTGACACTTATTCGTTAAGGTCAGTTTACCTAGCCCAGAGTTCAGAGGGGGCTTACTTTTGTAGAATAAAACTAAAAATTGGTTAATTTACTCTGATATTGGTAGATTATGTTTTGTTATCTCAAGATTTATCAATATCCAGTGGGCAGTGATGCAGTTCCTGCATGAATTCATGTATATTATTGTTAATTATTTATTACTACGGTTTCTGTCCCTTGAGAACATCGCAAGCATTACACTGTCAGTCATTTCAGTTCCCCCTTATTCATTTACGGTATTAACCACTCGCCACCTGTATGTGGCATTAGAAGGGTTTCAGACTACATGGTATGCTGAAACACGTGTCGGTGCAGAAGTGGATTCTCTGAGGAGGCCGCACGGTATTCGGATTGCACAAACCCGCACACATCAAAACTCCACTGTGTGTGTTGAAATATTACTGCAGATTTCCTGCACAGATTAGCTCCACACATCTGCTCCTAGTTGCTTTTGTTACTGTATCTGGAGTTCTCGAATATTAAATGTTACATTTTAGTTGGAAGTATTTAGCATTTTCTGTGTGGATTCGGTCTCTAAATAAATCAGAAACATCTGAGAAAACCTTTAAAAGCAAAAATGGAATTAACTGCACTGAAATTCTCTTTGCCTCTTCACCCGAAGGAAACGTAAAATCTGAGTGCAAATGTCTGCTTGAGTCGCATCCTGCTCAGAAAATCTGGCATCTTATTTTCAGCCTCATAGGTCTGAAAATGTGGCATTTAGCAACTGTTCAGATTTGTATAAGGAACTTCAGCCTCCTCATCATCTGGTTCAGATGATGATGCATTACTTCAGAAGTGGAAAATGGATACTTTGGTATAAGAATCCTTCCTCATTATTCATGTTAATGTTGCACGTGTTCCACTTAACCCAAGAAATAAACATTCGTCTAAGATTTTAATGCTCCTTTTTTAATCTGGGCATTGAAATGTACTTTTAATTGGCTTTATATCTTGATATTTCCTGAATCATAGGAGTTTGATTTCTTGATTTAGGACAAAGATTGGTTTAATATTGCCTCTGTAAGCAACAGGTCCTTATGCTAAAACGGAACGCAGAGGAATGGAGGAACAGTGTCCAAAGTTTATGGAGCAGGTATATGAGGGGGTTCTCAATGGTGTTTTATTAGCTGGCCAGCCGTTATGTTATGCTGTGCTTGATTCAACAAATGACTCACCAACAGTAGTAGCCAACCAGCTGTCTTTAGTCCAACTGAAAACAATGGAAATGTGAGTATTTGGGAATGATATTGCTAAGATGAGTTTCTTCTATCATTTTGGTGAGTGGTCTGAGATCTGAGGCTCCTAACTGTATGCTCACACATACAGTAACGGCACCAGTGCTCATAATATCTGTTCGAATAAAGGTGTGAATTAACAATTAACAGACATCAAAGTGAGCAGAGAGGTTTTTATTAAGGTTCATGACAAAAAAAAATCTAATAAACTGTTGGAAGGTTTTGCTCACACGACCTGCTCAGACTTATTCTCTAAAGCTGTGTGTGCTCTTTAAACCCCGCTGGCCTCTCGTTGGACGCTTCCAGGTCACCTCACTCAATTTTGAAGATTCCTAAAACTGGTTATCCACCCACACACTCCTTCTGCCGCTGCTATCCAGCTGTTCTATTAGTAACAGAGCCACTGAAAGGCTAGGCTGTGAAACTTGGTCGTGTCACTGGAAAAAGAATGCTTTTATTAAATCCAGTGAAGATTCCTGAATTTCAATCCTGATACTGATGAAAACCAGTAGTTTCATTGTGTGAATGGAAATCTGTGTGGGAATAAACAGACATATTTCCAGAGGCATCACTGGTCTGTTAATTGAGCTTTTAGCAACAAGTGCAAACCCAGCTGCGATGAAGAAGGAGCTTTCGTTTCACTTCCACATCCAGGTTTATCAAAACAGAAGGAAGAAGCTCTTTGTTATTACCGTTACACAAGACGGCATCCAGAGTGAACGACTGCCTGACAACTGGGGATGCTCCATAAATGTCAGTAAGACATTCAGAGGCCTTATGTCTAAAGAGAAATCTTGTTGTGTGAGGAATGGCTTCCTAAAACACAAAAGAAACCGAAATCTTGCTCGGCTGAACGTGGCTTTAACCAACAAGTTAAAGAGGGAATCACTTACCCCCCTGTTGTGTTACCTGTCTGTACGCTCATACGTTTCTGTGTGGCTCGGCTTCATATGTTGCTCTGATAAATATTTCAGTGTTTGGGGATTAGATTAAAGCCGTAGTCTTTGTGTAAATTTAGCTGATGGGTGCGGAGACACACAGCGGTTCAGGCAGCACTGTGCCAGTACCTGTCACCTCGCCTCTCTGCTCAGCGGAGGGTGTAACCATGGCATCCGATCCCTGGCATGGAGGCAGCAGCAGAGGTGTCGATGCGGCAGAGGGGCGAGCCCCGCTGCTGCCTCTGTGGAAAGGCCACGGCCCCCCTCTGGCTCCCAGCCTCCCGCCAACATGTCACCCAAACTGAGAGCCAGCCTGATTCACACAGCCCCTTCTCGTTTGGGTTATCCGTTGATGAAAATAATTTTTGCATACAAGTTACGAGACTTGATGTCTGTTGTGTTTGTGTGTGGCGTCCACGCCGGCCATCTCGATAGCTGCACGGCAAATTGTGATGTATCTGTTAAGCTAACGGGAGAAGGAGGCCGCAGTCTGCGCACCCTATTGGATTTGTCGGTCAGATAATGTGATTGTATCTAATCAATATCATCCGCACAGACCTTTAGGGGCGGTAGGAGATCTCTTGTTTCAGGCGTCTTCAGTCTGTTTGTCTTCCGTATTCTCTGACTCTCAGCACTGTCTCGGCTGTTTCTGGTTGATCCGAAGATGCTGCCTAAAGCGGCTCACATTGAGAGTCAACCTGCAGAAAGGTTCAAGAGATGTATAAAACCCTTGTTACTCAGTCCAGTCGAGAGTAAATCAGAGACCCGTCTACACCTCTACATAATTTCTGCATCTGTGTTCCCTGTCAGGCGGCCTGGGAGAAGAAGACCCATGAGGAGGGCACTCCCCTCAGCAGGTACTACACCCAGTGGAAGAAGCTGCGGGAGAAGGAGATCCAGCTGGAAATCTCTGGCAAAGAAAGGGTAATTGTCCATCTGAAAAACCCACCATCATTTTCCTCAGTCATCTTGAATCACTTCCCCTCTGTGAATGTCAGCTTTTCCCCACCAGAATTAATCTTTTACATTAATCACAATACATGCTCTACAGCAGAACATTTTACTGGCAGGACAACTGATTTCTGCTCATCACAGAAGCCATGAACATAAGTTTACTGGGATTCTATTCATATTTGGGGTTTTTTCTGTAAAGATGGAGGATTTGGACCTGCCTGAAATCAAACGGAAGAAGATTCAGGAGAAAAAGGCAGAGGACAAGAGGGAGTTCAAGGATCTTTTCCAGTCTGACAGCGAGTCAGACACGGATGACACAGGGCTTAAAATAAAAGGTAAGCTAACTCTCGCACACAGGTTTCCCTCAGATGGAAACTTGCTATTCATGTAATGATATACTGCCCGTCTTGGCCTCTAGAGGGCTGTATTTTGTCACAACTGGGTAAAACAAAACTTAAAGACTGACTGGGACGCTCATAGTCTTAAAGTTTTGGCTGCATGTGGCGGATCACCTGCTGCGCAGTTACCACAGATTCCTGACATCGAAAACATCCACGCGGACCGTTTCTCCTCGAATTAAAATGAAATCCCAGTTCGAGCCGAGGAGAAAATCTCTGCTTATCAAACAGTTTGGTTCACTGCCCAGCAACAGGAGCCGGCTCATCCTTCTCTCCCGTGAGTCTCGTCCACTCGGGGTCGTCCGCAGGTCACTAGCAGCTGTAACTTTTCTTTCACAGCTTTACCTCGGACACACTCCAAGCTCGGGGGGGAGGGGAAAAAAAAACCCTCCGTACGGCCACAGAGGAAAGACGTGGGCGGCAGGGGGATTTTTTTTCCTTTTTCTTTTTAATGCATCTGGACTTCATTGTAAAAGAGTCCCCACAAACGGATGGGCAGCTGCCGGCAAACGGCCCCCCCTCCCTCCGCCTCTTTCATTCGTCTCCGCCCCACCCCTTGTGCTCACACGCACGAGCTGGAAGCCCTCCAACAGGAAGTACAGGCTTGGATCCCAGCGGGGGTTCCTAATTCAAACCAGCCC